GAAACCATACGTTGATGTGGGATATGGACTGAAAAGGGATTGAAGTATACGGTCATGCCTGAGGCGTACGTCCTCTGCGTGAGCATGGGAGACTTCTTTCTTGACTTTGTTTGAAAAGGGTATTGTATAGCAGGTTACTGGCTTACATTTATAAGGAATAACTGTTTGTCTGACTTGCAACTCACGGGTAATGGTAGTGAAAATTGCCGATATATGGGACAATATTAGCCACTTTGAACAAGTCTCTCTAGTCCACAATAAGTTTCATTAACATAAGCTCAACTTGTTCCTTGTACCGAAGCTCTAGACAATTCTCATGCGCTTAGTATAATCCTGAGATGTAAGACCTGAACAGAGTCGCGGTCTAATGAATGGGATCAGCGGATGTTTGGAACAGTGCGGGATCTTCCACTGAAGCAGCAGGCAAGCGCTTCCGTAGGCTGAAGTTTGTATGTTGCCTGCCCGGGTAGCTTTAACCTCTACAAATAGGCGATACTATGTTACTACGTGATGAAGTGACACTAGAAATCCTAGGTCTCAAGTCAAGTCAGCTATCGCCTGTGTGGCAGATGATATGGAACACACAATTATATAATACTGATTACTTTGTTTCCAGCGCTAGCTGTAAAGAATTAAAATATGCTTCGTTTGTGTAGTTATACCAAAACATGTAGCCTGCAAGAATCCTCTAGCAGAGGTTGGTGACAGGTATCTGTACGAGAACAGCGCAAACTTAGAGTCAGTCTGCCATCCTCTACTGCTAGTAGTTGTATCAAGCATTAAGGCTGCACGTGGCACGTAGCACGTGGCCCAGACACTACATCTGTTTCTTGTTTGAGCCTCGTCGTGTATGAAAAAAGGCTAGCTGTGACTTGATCAAAGGCCTTACTACCAGATTCTCAACTAGGCATGACGCAAGATCAAGAATTCAGTAACATACAAAATTCTCAACTGATACTACTCCCCACTGTATAGCCAACCCGAAAGCAAACGAGCGAGCTTTTCTCAAAAATCTCCTTATGTTGCTCCCTACCGAGACGGGAGCTCTATCCAACTGGAAAATATCTGTGCCACACACATAACCCGGAAAATAAAACGATCGATAGTACGGACACCGTATGCTACATCCTGTTTAGATTACCATACTTAGCTCGTACTGAGTGAGGATTTCCCCATCATGCCTGTGGAATCGGTGCTTGGTGATTGTTACACACTCTGAGCGTCAAACTTCTTCCCGAAAACTTCAGCTCTGTGGGTGTAAACATCCACATTGAAGAAATGATCTTGCGAAATGCGGCGTATTCAATAAAACACACAAGCACTCTGTGCATGCCCCAAGATTGTAGGCTTGATATTCGTTATCCTGGACATTGTTTACACTGTGATGTCTTGGTATAGAGGAAATGCTGACCGTGGGCGACGCAAATGTGACATGTCTCAACCGGTTGGTTTCATTTTGATTGATCATATTTCGTTTACTCCACATATGCATGCAAAAATTACGCGGAAACGTTTTCCAGTTTACCTTTCAAAGATCTATGGGTAATTTCTATTGTAAACACCGCCCCTGGCCAAACCCCATTCCCACCCCTTGCATACTTCGCGTGTCCGCCATCAAAACAGAGAACGTTAAGAACTCTCACCTGCATGTTTTATTCGAAGTGACCCCTGCCTCACCGAGTACGCAGTCTAGATGAGTATACGATTATATGGACAATGTTTGGAAATAAATTTGATGTGAACGGCAAGGTCTTACATCCTCCCTTTTGTTACCCGTATATGCTAATAACTACCAGTTAGTAGTAGTAGCGGGGGGATCGAGAGGGTTAGGCAAGGCACTAGCGCTAGAGCTAGCATCGAAGGGTACGATCCTATGATCACCAAGAAAAGCCCTCCTCATCGTATCGTTTTCTATGTTAGACTTGTATGAAGCTCACATGAACCAGGTGCCAATCTGCTCATCCTCGCCCGGACGGAAGCTGCATTACAAGATACGCAACATGAAGTCGAAGCTGCATGTGTATCGTCAAAGCAAATTATCGATACGCGATCTGTTGATTTGACCAAGCCTGATGAAGTATACCCCCTCCATACATACTCTGCTTACTAGTCCATGCTAAATTCGGCAGATAACTAAAGCCTTACGACACTACCACCCCCCTGACATTCTTGTTTGCGCAGCCGGAGGCACTCCCAACCAGGTCGGGTTTCTCGCTGACATCCCGCCTGAAGCCCTCACCTCGTGCATGGAATCCAACTACTACACCACAATATTCGCCGTCCAATGCTGCTTAAAACTATGGCTCGTTGCCCCACAGACGCCCACACCTAGACATATTATCCTCGCGTCGTCCGCTGCCGCTTTCCTCGGGCTACCGGGTTATATAGCCTACACACCTACCAAGGTAGCTATTCGCGCGTTGGCCGATACCCTTCGCCAAGAACTCCTTCTTTACGGAAAAGATGCGTTTCGAGTCCATTGCTGTTTCCCAGGCGCATTCCTATCAGAGTCCTTTTCCCAGGGCCAGGAGCACAAACCCGGACTAACAAAGGTCCTTGAGGGAACCAGTATGCCCCAGGAGGCACTGGAGCGCAAGATACCCGGTGCCAGAGAGGTCGCGAGGAAGATTGTCTGGGGCTTGGAGAAGGGGAAGACGTATATCTCGGTCGACTTTCGGACGGAACTTCTGCTGAATAATATGCGTGGACCGAGTCCACGGTTTTGGACAGTGTGTGATTTCTTCCTGGGTTTGTTGGCGTCCTTAGTGTGGTGGATAGTCCGGATCGATTTTGATAGGAAGACCACAAGGTATGGGGCGGCGAGGAATCCAAGGGATAGTCGGGTTTAATCTGCGGTCTGCGGTGTTCGACATGAAGGTTGAGCCATATGGACTACTGTATACTGATATGTACTAATGCCGTCAGGTCAAACGTCCTGAGTATCTAATTTCTAATAATGTATAGCCCCCAATTTTGTAGGACAGTGCTAGTTGTTGAAAAAAGTCCTATCCCGATTATCCGTTACTCTCCCCTCGTCTGGTTGCATCCATGATGGGTCCTGTGGTGAAAAGCGCATTTATAATCAACTTAGCTCATGATTATCCTAAGTGTTACTTGAAATAGAGCAATCATTACGTGAGAAATCCATATTTACAGTTATCGAACTATAAATTTTAAGATGGTACAAGAACCAACCAATGGCAGTAGAGTCCGATGGAGCACTAGCCAATGGCAAGCCGCAAAAGTGGTATCGGCCTCGGCACCTGATCCGGGCATTTGTCAGCCGTGATTTTCTGGCATCCAAAAAGATTCCACGCGATTCACCATATTGGAAATCTATAAATCGCCATGAGTTCATCAACAATGACCTTTATCCGGCAGGACAATATATTTCCGTTCTCTCCTCACAATCAGAAACCAAGATAGTCACAATGGGATCCATCTCTTCTGCATCTCCCTCCGTGGTCAAAGCTGATAGCACCCCCTACTTCACCCCCGCCAACAATGCAGGTGCCGCTGTCAACCCCGAAGACCCTAACACGCCCACCCTCTTCAAGCCCTTGCGCATCCGCGATGTGACCCTCAAGAACCGCATCATTGTGTCCCCCATGTGCATGTACTCCGCCGAGTCGAACCCCGCCTCCCCCTTCGTCGGTGCCCTGACCGACTACCACATCGCACACCTGGGCCAATTCGCGCTAAAAGGCGCCGGTTTGGTCTTCGTCGAGGCACAGGCTGTCCAGCCCAATGGACGTATCTCCCCCCACGACGCCGGTCTCTGGCAAGAGGGAACCGACTCCGAACAATTCAAAGGTCTGCAACGCGTGGTCAAATTCTCCCATAGCCAGGGTGCCAAGGTGGCCGTTCAGTTGGCCCACGCCGGTCGGAAAGCCAGTGTGTTACCCCCATGGGTAGCATCGCAGGCCGGAAAACACAGTCTTCGGGCCGATGAGAGCGTCTTCGGATGGCCAAAGGACGTCGTCGGTCCTAGTGGCGGTGAAGAAAATATCTGGGACCCTGCGGAGGGGACATACTGGGCTCCCCGAGCATTGAGCATAGCAGAGATCAAGGAGGTGGTCCAAGCGTTCGCAAAGAGCGCAGAACTGGCGGTGAAGGCTGGTGTCGATGTCATCGAGATCCATGCGGCACATGGATATTTGTTGAATCAGTTCCTGAGCCCTGCGACCAACAAACGTACCGATGAGTACGGTGGTAGCTTCGAGAACCGTGTTCGCATTGTCCGTGAGGTTGCGACTGCCATCCGTGCTGTCATTCCCAAAGGTATGCCGGTGTTCCTCCGCATCAGTGCGACCGATTGGCTTGAGGGTCAGCCTGTTGCTGCCGAGTCCGGCAGCTGGGATCTGGAGAGCTCTCTCCGGTTAGTCGAGATCTTGCCAGAATTAGGCATTGATTTGGTTGATGTCAGTTCGGGTGGAGTTCATAAGGACCAGAAGATTAAGCTCGGTCCTGGCTACCAGGTGGATTTGGCTGGGGAGCTGAGAAAGGCTATCCGGAAAGCTGGCGCATCGACCCTTGTGGGAGGTGTGGGATTGATCACCGAGGCAGAACAGGCGCAGAGCATCGTTCAGGGTGCAGATGAAGCGCAGCAGGCCGAGGCCATCGTGACAGCCAAGGCAGATGTGGTTCTCTTGGCTCGTCAGTTCCTGAGAGAACCTGAATGGGTCATTATCACAGCGAAGAAGTTAGGAGTCAAGGTGACGCATCCGCATCAGTTCTGGCGAGCGCTATAGATAAAATATGGGCATAGAGGATATGTATGTATAGACATGATAGAACTAATGAATTTCTTGGATTATGATATGCCATTGAGTTTTTGAATCAATTAACTTCGGTTAATTCCGGCTCAACCCGGAGGACTCCGGAGTCCGAACTGCACACCTTTGCTTTAGTACTAATTTACTATTGAGAGCTAAGGTTGTAAGGTAGTAGTTTTAACCCCACCATAGAATTAGTTGATCTTAATTGATTATGATATAATCCTCTACCCCGCGTCCAATTAAATTCACCCCAAAACATCCAACTCACCAAGACTCACTCTCACTCCTACTCCTCACCACCACTCAGACAAACAACAACCATATTCATCAGTCACCATGGCCCTCAAACCAGGAGATTCCTTCCCCGAAAACGTCGTCTTCCAGTTTGTAACCTCCAATTAATTCGCCCCAGTCCCCCACTAATTGTTATTAGGTACGTCCCCTGGACCGAGGAAAAGGGCGACATCACCGCCTGCGGCATCCCCATCCCATACAACGCCTCTAAAGAATGGGCCGATAAGAAGGTGGTCCTGTTCTCCGTTCCTGGTCAGTCTCTAATATCTTTCCTCGCACATCGCTATATCGAATCTAACACGACTGTACAATTCTAGGTGCTTTCACCCCCACCTGCTCCGTCAACCACGTTCCCGGATACATCCAGAACCTACCCCAGCTGAAGGAAAAGGGCGTCCAGGTCGTCGCTGTTGTCGCATCTAATGACCCCTTCGTCATGAGCGCCTGGGGAAAGGCTAACCAGGTGAAGCGTGACGACATTGTATGTATCTTCACGCGATGGTCTACAAAAGCCTTCAATTGCAATATACTGATTACTGCAGCTGTTCCTCTCCGACCCCGACGCCAAGTTCTCGGGCAGCATCGGCTGGGCCAACAACGGTCGCACTGGTCGTTATGCCATTGTCATTGATCACGGCAAGGTGACTTACGCTCAGATCGAGACTGAGAAGGGTGTTGTTAAGGTACGTTTTCTTCCTGTCGTGTTTGCAATTGCTAGTGCTAACCGATTGGGCAGGTGTCGGGTGCCGAGGCTGTCTTGGCTCACTTGTGATTATCTTCGGAAGCTCGTTTTCCGAGGTGAATTATATAGAGTGGAGCAAATTTCTGCTTAGCTAGCGTTTTCTTTTGGTTAAAACTCGCTCACGATATGCTGGGCCTAGAACTACAGGTTAGTACTAGGCAGAAAAGAGGTGTTATCAAGCGGTTGACTTATGTCTAATGGAAATTATCATTCTCACCTAGCACGCACGTTCTGTAGCCTTCCATTAATAGAAGCTAACAATATTGAATATCAATTAAAAAGTCCGTAACGTCCCGGACTTACTTGGAAACCACCAATACCCTAAAGGACGCCGGGCGTTATGAACAAGTGAGAACACCTGCTCAATCCATTGACATTCACGGGCCGAGGGCGGCGACACAGATCTATATGAACGCACAGACACAACACTGCACAGTAATTCCGGGATGAAGTGACATGCCAGAACCTTAGGAGTGAAACAAGTTAGAATTAGTGAGCAGCCTTGCCCTGTTGATATGAATTCGGCACATATCCGGTGCATTAAGGAAAGATTGTATTACTAGCGAAGAACCCCTTCACTTCGGCAGTGGCTACCGAAGACAACATAGGGTTAGCTCCAATGCCTCTTATAAAAGCCCGAGTCGGCGATTACTGAAAACGCCCGTGAAGACTGCATTGGTCTGAAAGAGCCATCTCAGTTACTGAGGCTATGCTACTATACTGCAATACTGGGTTATCTGTCTAGTGCCTTCGAGCTGCGTGCACGCTTATGGCGAAGAGATCCATCCTCTCGTTTCACTCGAGTCCCCCGGTCATGTAATAATGCTGCTTTTGAAAGAACAGCCTCGTTCCCGTTGTTGGATAGATATCTGTATCTTATATCAAACCCCGTAACAAAATTGAAGTGATATGTAACTGAGCCATTACAGTGCACAGCGGTGCCAATGGCCCTTTAGAGCGAAGGCTTCCTACTTTGAGATATTCAAAAGCGCTGCCCATAGAAATAATGAAACTTAATTTTTCCCTTTACCAATTCAATCATGGCGGTTATGAGATGTAATTTTACAAGGCGCATGGTACAGGAAAGAAACCTTTATCTCAATTGCCCCGAACCCTATCATGATGAATCATTGCTTCCACATTAAGCGACACCGCGCCCTGACTCACTCGGTCAATACTTAGTCTTGACTTGATAGAGGACTAGTGATAATGTGAACATCTACTCCATCTACTGTTAATTAAACCCCTGGACGTAGTAGGTATGTATGCACATCACTTATTCGGTGGGGAACATAGTCTACCGTAATGTAAAATTGCATGAGACCAGATGGGATTAACCCATCATGCCTCTGTTCATACTCCAGTTAACCGATTTAGTTCCATTCCTCCTACAATGGAAGGTATAAATATACCATCATGGACCAGGTCCCAAAATCTCCTTTCCTCTCCTCACCATCAACTTCCATTGGACAACCACCCTTACACAAAGCGAACACAAAGTTCAGTTTGAAATTAAAAGTCCATCTCTAGTCAGCATGACTAACTTCAAGATCCTCTTCACCTTCTTCGCCATATTCATGTTCTCCTTCTAAACCGCAATGGCCCTCGCTGGCAACACCAAAAGCGTCACTTCTACTGCCGTCGATGACTACGAGACTGGAACCCAAAAGTCTCCTGCTCCAGCTAAAGATGAGCCTTTCGTACGTTTGGCACCGCCATTCTATCCATGGATAAAGCTCGCTATGTAGACAAAATTAGGCCTCTTACTAACAGTATCTGATCCACAGCAACGCGGAAGGTATTGCCATGGCTCTTGCAACAAGCAGAAAAAATGTAATTGTTCGGAAGGAAAAACTACGTACACTTGTCCACGCGTGCATCCGGATATGAGTTGCTCGTGTTGGGTGGTCTAGGTTAGTGTGAGACTTTGGGGACATTCTTTGGATAGGGTGGCCGATCTGGGATGGCTCAAAAGTCTGTACAGGATTGAAATATTCGGGTCGATATGGTAAGCAGGTAGAGTTGAGATAGGAGTGTGGATGTCGGTGGATATTGACTTTCTTGTTTCTTCTCGTCGCTCCTACGCTATCGGTAGTTGAAGAAGAGTGGCGGCTTAGTTTGAATGAAAGATATTGTTGGCTGATAACTACTTGTTGTGGTATTGTGTCGTCTATGGGTAGCTGATATTAGCCGAAGACAGTGGTAAGTTGGTATATACATGGCTTCTTTTCTAAAACTAACAAATCGGAAAGCAAAATCGCCAGATTAGCACACACTTAATAGTCGTCGGACTCATCACTCATAACAATGTCGTCGTCAGAGTCATCATCATTGTCCCAATCATCGTAAACATCATCATCATCATCCTCATCCGAGTCACCATCGGCCATCTTGTGGAACATCTCCTGCATCATGAACCGGAAGGTCTTCTCAACATGTGCCTCATCGAGATCGAGCAGGACCTTCAAGGACTCCTTCGGTGTCCAATCCGCCGGGTCAACCTCATCTCTATCGAACAAAAATTCCGGAAGATGAGAGGCGAAGAAGGCCAGAACCAATGATCCAACGCCCATAACATACTCCGTAGAAAGCGAGATGCTTGCCTCATCACGGTCCAATCTAGTCGCTAAACCAGTCACATCGCGTTTCTTGAGGAACTCAACAAGATCCACCGCGGGGAGATCGACCTTGTCACCTTCACTAGCGCAAGCCTTGATCAACTGAAGGGTCTCATCCCAATCAACCGTGTGGCGTTCACACAGGAGCGCCAGCAAAAGGAAAGTCGGGCACTCGTTATGATAATTTTGTCCTACCAAGACCTTGTCGAAGGAGGCTTTCTCCGCTTCAAGACGTCCGTTGAAAGGTCTCCAGAATGCCTTGTGCCAGGGATCAGACACTTGAGACGAAGGGTGGTTCTTAGCATCCTTAATTATGTCCTCGGGAAGGTACTTTTCGTATCTGTTGAATGTCCACATATTCCACAGGTTGTCGAGCTCTTCGCCTAGTTTGGTTTTGGTCGCAAGATCAAAGGACAGCCGGGCTGGCTCGTTGTTCTCGAGCGATTTTTCATATTCCCTGATGCATGCTTGGGCAACTTCGCGCTCTTCTTTGGTGGGAGAGCCATTGGTCAATGTGTGGCAGGCTTCCAGGTATTCAAAAAGAGCTTCCTCCCTTTCTTCGGAGATTTTGAAGTGAGGGTTCGCTTTCATGGAGTCCACATAGCTGATCCTCTCCTTGATTTCTTTGGTTGTGGAGGTGGAAATTTCTGTGAATGGGCGCGGGGGCGCCATGTAGCGTAGTGGGTTCATTGTGGTATTATTGTATGGTGTACGCTATTCCACGATACAAAAGGAGACTATGCCAAAGGGTGTTTTATTATGGTATTGTTGAGTTTGTAAACACAAAAATCTGTACAATTAAAAAAATTTCTGATGAGGGGTGAAGCTTATCCGCATTGTATCCCCACTGTGGGACCAGCGGATGTACCTGAGTGGTCCATTGTCAGTGATCTACATGCTATAGGTGCATTTATGTTGTTTTACTGTACACATTTTTGATCAATTGACCCGACTACTACAGTATATACCATCAGGGGTTCAGGAGCCCATAGTTTGAGTCATCAAATTTTCAAATGATTCGAGTAAGATTGGCAGTTAGGATTTCTAAATTCCGCTATACGACAACGAATACGTGAAGTAGATGTTTGTCCAGTTTATATATTAGATTACATATATATATAAAGGATTAATAGTACAATCGATTATCAATAGCTCAGACTCGTCTTGATTCGGAGGCATTCGTTAGCTCACGCGCTGTGGAGATGGGTTCCTGTTCGTCCTCAGTCCACCCTGCTTGTTAAGCTATTCTTTCACAGCTTCCTGAAGAAAATCTCATTCCGATATCGCTGTCCAGTCCCATGCTCTCGCAAGGAGGGCACAAAGCTTTCATGGATCTCAAGTAGATCATCTGATGTTTCTTGAAATAGGTTGCAGTTCGAATTGTAGTGTGTTTAGTTTTGTAAACCTTAATGCGTGGAAGAGTCTTGGCTTGGATTCATATATTGATTCATTGCAAACGGAGTGCCATGTTCTGAGATTAGAAGTTCAAGCCAGGCATAACGTTATAATATGAACTTTAGCTTATAAAACCTTTTGAAACCCAGTTTATTAACCAAGCCCGGTTAGCTCAGTCGGAAGAGCGTGAGACTTTTAGGTTATCCTGCCATCTCAATGTCAGGGGTTCGAGCCCCCTATCGGGCGAATTCTTTTTTACCCCTTCAATTAATCCCACAAGTTTTTTTTTTTTTTTTTTTTTCTTTTGATTCTGTCCACCTTGTTAATTCATGTCTGTCGCCATCAACGGACCCAAGCCTATGCTGTGTTACTGGGCCCGCCTATGCTCTCCTAGTTCACTTTGTTATTGTCAAGGCACAGACATACGATGTTGCAGTGGGTTGGACGACGCATTTTCACCTGATTCCAACATTCCCACATCTTGCCCCCAATTGCCGAACCATCCCATGGCAGATCCGCCTAATTTAGGTATATACTGATTGAAGGGGCTCTGCATCATTGATTATGTTATGCGTATCAAGTATGTGTCCCCCTACTGCTCCATGTATATCCTTGCAGTTCAATATCTTGTTCCGAAGTGCACCGTTGCTGTTGGGAAAGTAATTTCCGTCTTCTTCCAGACCCACTTTTGCGGATGAATTTTCCTAACCAGGCCGTCACTGCACTCAAGCTACACCGCAGGCTCGCCCTCTGGTAGCCATCTATAATGTGTCGTCATTATCCAAGGCCCGGTTAGCTTAGTTGGAAGAGCGTGAGACTTTTAGATTATCTGTATAGAAGTCTGCTATCTCAAGGTCGCGGGTTCGAGCCCCGCATTGGGCGTGTTCTTTTTGTTGCTGCGACATAGGATTATTGTTTTGAGGCATGAATAGTGGCAGCAGTCTCTAACTTTACTTACAACAGAGCCAATGTAGCTGGATGCTTCATGTTGTGCTCTATTCTCTGTCGGGATATGGTGTGGAATGCTCTCCAGTCTGCCTGGCGGCCTCATGGCTGTAGCTCTTATTTAGACAAAAGACCTTCCTGGGCTTTTTGTTGCTAGAAAGATTCCTACAAATTCCATCATTTTTGAGGGCTCCTCAGGAAAGCCGTGAGTTTTTCACCATGTGAAGAATTTCATTGCAGGAAGCCACAAGAAGACAACCTTCAATCCTACGATTGCCACTATTTTCGAAGAGGTCTTTTAAAGGTCTTCTTAGGGCACAAAAGGGAGGGCGTATATGCCATGAAAGAGAAGGCGAAGATGATAGCAGTTCTCGTTCATGACTGGACAAGCAACTCATATAAGAACTACCTCTCAAGGATTGCATGTAATTGGCAGTGTGCCCGCCTCTTGCACCTTTCCTAGAAGCTTCTGGGATGACTGATGCTCTCCCTATGGCAGTCTTTGTGACCCTAGCTATGGACTATCACGACTGGAAGCTTTTCTCTAACAATGTTATAGAGTACCTTTCGTCGGGTGCCATATTTTCTAGGTCAGGATTCAGCTTTTTAGCTCTATTACAATACCCAATGCTCTTTCGATAAAATGAGACATTGGAAGGACTATCATGCACATTTCACTGAACAAAGTTGTTGGCACGAATACACAACGGCAGATGCATTCTGAAAAGAGTTTACCCAAAGACAGAAGAGCTAGGTATTATGGCGGCGAACGAAGACTTCCCACTCTATCGTACTCGCCACCACCATGATGTAGAAATACCATGACCTTCAGTTTTCTCTTGAGCAGCAGAAGTCAAGCCGTACTGTTTATTGTTCCGAAGGAGACAAAGAAATTCTCGTTCTATCCCACTGGGTAGTGATCTGCTATAACGATTGCCACTGTCTATGGGAAGGCGGGTCCCGCGGGTAGCGGCCGGATGAATACCTGAGTGTCCGCGGAGCAAGAAGGCATCATTCAATAGAAATCCGAACAAGAGCGCTCCCAAGAGTTCCATCGGGCGGAGGCCCCGTTTATTCGCCCAGGTGTGGGACCCCAGAGTGCTCAATAGGGTAAGGCATGTGCTATGTGGTAGCCTAGTTCAATAGTGAGACCCATCCCAGCCGCTAGTTGGAATTCTGATGAAACATTCCCACCATAAGGCTGAATCCCTGTTGACGACAGGACACAGAAGGATTTTGGTGGTTGCCTAATGAGGTCGAAGCAGAATTCTCACATACATAGTCATAAATGAAGTAAGAGTCACTTGGCTGACGCTTAGAATGTACTGTATGCGGTGTTGAACCGTTGATCTCGATGTTTTCCCGTATTCTCCTTAGCCTTCGACCTACGATATGAAATTGAATGCCCTTTTGCTAGGGGCTACTCTGGCTAGCGCTGCCCCTAGTCTTGACCTACGCGCTTTGCCGAATGCTCCCGATGAATACGCCCCTGCAAACGTCTCTTGCCCTGCTGTGAAACCTACAGTCCGCACTGCATCCAAGCTCTCCCAGAATGAAACGGACTGGCTCGAGTCGCGCCGGAAGGAAGTTGTGTCGCCCCTGAAGAGTTTGCTCGGCCGCCTGAACCTGACCAACTTCGATGCATCAGCTTATATTGACCGAGTGTCAACGAACACTTCCAATCTACCCAATGTGGGAATTGCCGTGTCCGGTGGTGGTTATCGCGCCATGCTTAACGGTGCTGGAGCCCTTAAAGCTTTTGACAGTCGGACCACGAATTCGACCGCTTCTGGCCAACTTGGAGGCCTCCTACAGTCTGCCACTTACCTTTCAGCGCTAAGTGGAGGTGGATGGCTGGTAGGATCTGTCTTTATCAACAACTTCACCACCATCAGCGATCTCCAGACGAGTGAGAATACTTGGGACCTAAGAAACAACATTTTAGAGGGCCCGGACGTGAAGCACTTCCAGTTCTTCAAAACTGTCGATTACTGGTCCGAATTAGTGGACACAGTAAAAACTAAGAAAGAGGCGGGCTTTAACACATCTCTTACAGACTATTGGGGCCGCGCACTCTCTTATCAGTTTATCAATGCCAGCAACGGGGGCCCTGACTACACCTGGTCATCGATCGCTTTGATGGAGAATTTCCAACGAGGCCAGACACCCCTGCCCATCCTGGTCGCGGACGGACGAAACCCCGGCGAGTTAGTTGTTGGTAGTAATTCTACTGTGTATGAGTTCAATCCCTGGGAATTTGGTACCTTCGACCCTGCCATCTATAGCTTCGCGCCATTAGAATATCTGGGTTCCGACTTTAAAGGTGGTCAGATTTCCAGCAACGGGTCATGTGTTCGGGGCTTCGACAATGCTGGCTATATCATGGGTACCTCGTCTTCTCTGTTCAACCAAGGGTTATTACGATTGAATGGCACAAAGATTCCCAAGATTTTCAAGTCGGCCATCGCAAGCATTCTCGAAGATCTGGGCCAGGACAACAACGATATTGCCAACTACCCCAACCCATTTTATCAATATACCGATACTACGCCAAATATCGCAAGTCGAACCCACTTGAGTGTCGTCGACGGGGGCGAAGACGGGCAAAACGTTCCATTACACCCTTTGATCCAGCCAGAGCGCAACGTCGACGTAATCTTCGCCGTGGATTCTACATCTAATATCCACGGCTGGCCTTCTGGCAAGTCCTTAGTGCGCACCTATGAAAGGAGCCTGAGCTCGACTGTCAGCAACGGAACCGCGTTTCCTGCAGTCCCCGATCCCAACACCTTCATCAATTTAGGGCTGAACAAACGCCCGACCTTTTTCGGGTGCGATAGTAAGAACCTGACTGGGCCAGCGCCGCTGATTGTCTATCTTCCAAATGCTCCTTATACATACCTTTCTAATACATCCACCTTCGACCTGTCTTACAGCTACGAGGACCGTGATGACATGATCACGAACGGTTATAATGTTGTCACCCAGGGAAATGGCACGGAGGATGCCAACTGGCCGTCATGTGTGGGGTGTGCCATTCTTTCGCGTTCCGCTGAACGGACTAAGACTACTCTGCCTGAAGTCTGCACTAAGTGCTTCAAGAATTACTGCTGGGATGGAACTATAAACAGTACGGAGCCGGAGAACTACGAGCCGCAGCTTATGATCAAGACCAACCTGGCTCCCAGGGAATTGCCTGTTTCCATCGCTGCCATATTTCCCTTCGCTCTAGCACTGGCGATGATGCTTTAGACATAATGTTTAGTTTGTGTTGCAAACACACGAGCTAAGTTCCTTCGATATCGCATATAGCATCACTTCTTTTCAATCATGGTCGCAAAGCCGGCATTTATAGACATACAAGAGATAATCTGCATATAGTTTAGATAAATGATATATTTTTATGAAAGCTATATGGACTGAAGTATTTCAAGTAGCAATACTAATAACAATTTCTTTTCAAATAATACCAACCTTTTGAGGCATTGCTGTTCAGCTCTAAGTGGATGGTGGTGACTGTCATCCATAATTTGGATGTTAGTGGGTGCCAAAATAGAAAAACCAGGTCGTCGAAAATCTTTTTTGGGGACTATTACTGTGGTGTGGATAAAAGATAAATGCGCACTTTTTTATGCTCTTATCGCGCCTCTTTACTTTAGTTGCCATTTGTATCCAAGGGCGAAAACCAGAAAGCTCAAGTATGATTGGCCAGATTGCGGTCAGCTGACCAAACTCACCCGAACTCAACCGAGACTTCATTTAGTGAAAAGAGAAGATAGGAGTCGCTAATCTACGAGGACTGTGATTCCATACTTAGTTTTGATGCTTTCTGGAGAGGGGCCTGGAATTTCCCGTTGGAATAGGACTTTGTCGTGCCGGGGCCATGCGACCACAAATGCGCCAGACCCAGAGGGTCCCTCGGTCATGTATACAATGCACCCGTAGGAAAGTGAAATGCTCGAAGAGGATACCTTGTGACAAATGCATTGAACGTGGGGAGTCGGCCGCCTGTATGCGTGAGGTTGTTAAGGTTGCTGGGAAAGTCACTGTGTGAGATCCCTAAATGCGATATTCTCGATGCTTTTGTCAACATATATATTCAACTGAGCTGACCTCTTACAACAGTGCAGTAGACGAAGATGTGCCATCAGACGATAGTGCTACTGGCACCGCTTCGAAGCTTCTGGAGGAGAATATGAGCCTCAAAATGCGAATAAGGCAGCTGGAATCAGTTCTCTCCCGACCGGAAATGCTAAAAGTGGAAGCCAATATCCCCGGACGCACAGCAGCCGTAGAGGACTTTCAATCCTCGGAGAGTATCTTAAGCGAGTTTCAGCGCTTACCGTTCCAACTATCAGTTGAGCCAGGTCAAGGTCATGCGGATAGTACTCGTCCGTGGGATGACCATGTAATGCTTTGTCTACCTGCCCGCCACTGGAGCGACGTAATTGTGAAGTTCTCTCTAAGAGAGTTTGGATGGGTTCATTGTGCCTTAGATGCATCAGTCTTCATGCGAGAGCATAATGCATTCTGGGATAGCTTGATCGCAAACGAAGGAAATAGTCTTAGGGATCATGCTTGGATTGCCGTATATCTAAGCGTCTTAGCCGTAAGTTTTCTTCGTGCCACCTTTAGCTTCCGTGATTTGACTAGCTTCCAGGTTGGCGTATACTTTATTAGTGAAGAGAAAATACAAAACCTCCAGTTGGTTTATGAGAGCTTCTCTGCCCGAGATCCCTCTGTGCGGTCTTCACTGGGCCGGGGATCTATAGAATTGTCGCGTAGTTGGCGAGCAGCTGCCTTGAAAGAGTTGAACTATGCCAACTACACCGGCAAGCCAAGCTTGCGAACCGTCCAGGCCTTGGCAATTCTGAACGTGATTCATAAGAATCTCGGTGAATCAGACCAGGAATATATTCTTCATGGTACGGCCGTGAATGTTGCTCGACTCATTGGGCTCGATCGTCTTGGGCATGATCGTGGAACAGTGAGTACACACATGGAAAGCTTAGAGTCGAATTCAAGTCAGCAGAATGTTCTTCGAAGGTTGTGGTGGACACTTGTCGTTTGTGACTGGTAGGCCTATATGCTTGGCCTGAAAGGGTAGGTGAACGCTAACACTACATAGGATAGCTGTGTGGTCACGTCCAATCACGATCCATCCAGAGTCTTTCACAACAGTACTGGAAGTAACGGAAGGCCAAAGCACCTTTATCGATGGGAGCTTTACCTCTGCCTCGCCACATAGCTTCGATGAAGGGACGAACCGTCCGTCTACCTTCGAGTATCATAGAGCAATAGCTCAATTGGCCATTACTATACAGACCCACGTCGGATCCATCAAAAGTTGGGATATAAAAGTACTACAAGATACCCTTGGGGAATTAGACCGCATCTCATTATCCTTCCCACCCCATCTCACATTGCTAGGCCAGGACGCCACCATGGACGTAGTAGGCCATGAACCCAACTGGATCACAGTGCAACGCTATTTACTCCACAACTGCCTAGATAGCTGGCGGATCCATCTCTGCGTTGCAATCTTGCCCCACATTCTGGAAAACCCCAACGAAGATGGAGGGGATGTCCTCCAGCACGGGATATTAGCTGCAAAGCGTCTTCTCCAGCGGAGGCAACACGCACCATGCCCTCATTTCCACAAGTTCTGGGCAGTGACGGCCTCTATCATTACTGCAGGAATCTATACCATCATAGACCTGATATGCCTACGAAAGTATCGATCGCCCCACGAATTAAGTGAACGGAGGGAACTAGTTAGACTAAGCATCAGTATGCTGGAGCAGTCTTTCACAGAGACGCGTCACGGTGCATTACTCGTCCTTCGGCGGCTATCTCATCTAGACGACATCATAGACCCATCGCAAGAAATTAACCGACTCGTACTCTCGAAGATAGTGAGGTTAACAGCGTCGCCCCGTCTGTGGGCTTCTCTTCCAGATGCCCATGCGACTTTAGGATATTTGTTCCCAGAGCCAGGTTTTGACAATCCGGGAAACACGTCGTCGTCATCGCCGAGCAGTAGTCAGTGTGTGGATAGCAGAGTATCTGGAGAATGCGCAACACTCCCAGAATTCCCTGTTGAATTGGACTTCTTTACAACGGCCATTGGGCGGAGCGAGATCCTACCTCACTTCGGCGATTTGTCGTCGTCGTTGGAACTTATTGACATGTCGATGCCATGGCTCGACTCATTCCCTCTTGATGATTTTGTTAAACAGTCTTAAGGTGTCGTTGAACTTTATATACAGCCATGTAACCATGACATTTTCATCTGAGAAACAATCACGATTATTGAAATGAAAACAAACGAGGACATATATCCTTAGCCAAAGCTAAAATAACTTGTATCTCAAATACGACAACATATCAAAGGTCCCCGAACGGTCACTGTTCGAGAGTTGTCTTCAAGGAATTGTCCTTTCGATTACTTTTATCACAGTCATTTCTCTTTTACATTAAGCATAGCCCAAGGTTCTCACCTGATAAATCTCAGCTGAAGGTAGACCCAGGGGCATCAATGACCTCACCACATTTACCCTATAAGCTTACCATTTCCCACCTTCCATGGAGTCTTTTAAATTTCATTAATGTATATAAAAGTTTCAATATACGTAATTTTAAGCGCTTGCTGAATTGGTTGTTCATAACGGGGTTTTACTGTACATAGTTTACCGATGGATTGTAGTAACGTGCTATCTCTTCACATGATTTGCCTGCTAGGCTGAATATAAAGACTCGATGAGAACCCCACCAAAAGAGCTCGCCCTGAAACCCTTCCCTATTCTCCCCCATCCATACTGGCCATTATGAGTAACGAGCGAGGATATTCACCACGATGGGGTGAGTTGCCTGTCGAGCAATATCTGATTGTACCTACCCCTGTAAAGAATATCTATTTCTTTTGACGGATCACTGATGCTACAACCAGAGACACTGGGACAATGCAATGACGGAATCACCCGACCAACAACGCGTGAGACTTGTCCGCCAATTTCTCGACCTGGATGAGTTTCCCCAGGAATGGTTTCCCACTCAGGAGGGTGAGCCATTACCGCGCTCGCCCACGGAAGAAGATATCAGAGCTATTCTTCGTCCCTGGCGCTCAGATGATCTGCGCCGGAGAGCGTGGCATATATACACGAATGTTACAGATGAACCGATCTTTCTCCGAACACACTATGAATCGGAAGATGATGAGAAAATAGAGCATTGGGCTTGCGTATCAGAAGAATTCGAGAATCAGGCCTGGTGGGCGTGTTTGAACAACGCCCAAATCTATAACTTTGGATCAGACTGGCAACGAGTATATGAGATTTTACCTGAAATTGCCGGACCGTCGACCGAGGGATTTGTATCCCTAGAAACTCTATCATCGATACGGTCGCATTTCAAGATATGGCTCAATGAGGCAAAACAAATTGAACCTGAGTTTTGGAGGAAGGATAGGCATCGATTTATTGAGCTCAAGGCAGCTGGCCTCCTCCGCGCAGTAGCAACAAGATATATGCTTCTCGCAGATCAAGAGGCCTTTGAAACAGATGGACGATTACGCCTAATATACCTGGATAATAAGCGTAATATTGTCCGGGAGACACGGGTTGACGCTGATGGACAGACTATTACAGATATTATCATGGCCTGGTTTGAACTGACTGACCCTCCTGAGCTGGAGGATGGCATCACTGGTGATCGATACCGGGTTACCGGTGACTTGGGCAGAAAGTTATATCAGCTGACTGATTCTGATTTGGCAGATCCTTAGGTCCATGGTCTGATAGTTGTACCGAGTGAATTTCTATCTATCTATCAAAATACGGTTTCAATTCATTGCTCTAGCTGTGGTGTAAAGAGGGGGTCATTGTTGGTAGATCTTCAAATAGTAATTTGGCCCTAAATAGTCCACTTACCGGGGGCAAGGAAGTACATACGACCATAGGGTGTGGAGAACAAGGCTTCCCATCTGCTCAGCCGTACTTCAGCCGCATATTGAGCGCAGCCGATTAGAGAATGAGCCCTTTAGAAGTTCCTGCTTTATGGGTGAGCGCCGCTAAGTCGCAGGGTGAGTGTGGGTGATCTGGACGATGTTGTTTACAGCGCTGGTGAGCAGGGTGAGCGAGTGGTGAGCAAATGGGTGAGCTAGAACAACCTGATAGATTTTTGTGAAGTTAAATAGGGGCACTTGATCTGGATTTTTCACCCTTTAAGCTACTCGTTCTCAAGAAACGGCTTCAAGTGCGATCCCGCTGGCACCTCGCCTCTGGCTGGGTAAGCATTGCCTGAGGTATCAACATATACAATACTACCCATGTAAATAATTATTATCGTTTTAAGTATACTATTAAGAGACTATATAGATACTTAAGAACCTTATCTAGATAGTTATATAGAATCTGTATATAAAATTGCGATGTTTAACTAAGAATTCAACCTTATTAAGAAAAGTCATCAATAACATTGTAGCGAGAAGTAGTTATCTGAGCTAACTGGGACAAAGCCATGGAGAAGCATAATCTGTATGTACTATATCTCAGCTGTCTTTTTGTCAACAGCATACTTCATCGTAAGGAACCGAATCTTGGAACCGAAGATGAAAACAACGAAACCAAAAGCCGAGATGACTCCCATGATGATAGCACAGATATCCAATGCCTGCTTATAACCCATCTGTGCAACGAATTTAGTGACTCCAAAGGAAATCCCGAAGGAGATCAAGCCACGACTTGTACAGATCAGAACCAGAATGGGCCCTGCTCGCTCTCCATAACTATCAAGGGAGTACGTATATCCAATGAGTATGATACCAATGAAGCCGAAGTAAATCCCATTAAAACCGACCGTGACTGCCCACGGCGACCAGTGATATGGATCGGAACCAGCATGACCAAAGATGACACATGAGATGAGTGCCACGGCGACAGGCAGTAATATGGGGATCAGCCGAAACTCAGGTTCGGCCACACCGTTACGGCGTCTTGCTATCCATTCGTGGAGCTTGTCTCCGCCGTATCCGAGAACAGGGACGAGGATCAGTGAGACGACTATCTGGCCTCCTTGGACAAGACCTAAAGCTGTGGCGGGATAGTTGTATGGTGGTGCGGTAAGGATGGATCCGAACACAGTTACCATGATCACGTAGATTCCGAGCACGACACTGTTCATCAAGACGATCCACAGGATGTTGGGAAACAAGATACACTGCAGCATGTGCTTCCAGCAGTCTATCGCTACCGGCCACTTCGCGGGACCGTGGAAGACCTTCAAGCTGTGCCGCCATGTACGCGGTTGATACCGGGTGAAGTCCAATTCGACTCGGTGCTTTGTAGTTGCACGAACAACGGCCAGGTCTTCGCCTTCATGCTGAACATGGACCTGACCATCAAAAGCGTCGGTGGGCCGTTGATACAAAGACTCCGGGACCAGTGCAAAGGAGACCAAGAATAGTACGCCGCTTATAATAGCGAATATGCCGTACCACCACCTCCACCCCAGGCTCTGAACAAGGTAGGCTGTAGCAATTGTCAAGGCAGCGCTTCCTATAGATTGGATGGCGCTGAACCATGCTAGCCTACTACTGCGCTCGTGAACAAAATGGATTTCCTACAGTAGTGCGTGCACCGAGATGTCAGTCTCTGCTCTGTGTGTATTGTGTCCGGATAGACAGGGAGTACCTGAATGATGAGAGGACATAATGCCTCCGACTGACCGGCAGCCAAAGATAATACATCTCGTCCCGCAATATGCGAGTCCAGACTAGTACTCGCAGCACACCAGATAGACCCGACTGTCAGGATAAGAGCAGACGTCAGGAATACTGGACGACGTCCCACAGCCTCAGCGAGTGGTACAGCGACTACGTTTCCAAGTCCCATGAACAACGTTGGATATGTCATCAGATCGTTGGTTCTGGGATTACCGTCGTAATAGGCCGAGATGGTAGTGGTGATAGGGCCCATACCAGAGGTCATCAGGACACTCAGCACGGCGACTAAGCAATATCTCATGCGGTTAGTATTTCTCTTTCCCCAAAGCGATTTACCGTAAAATATCACGTGGAGAGAGAGAAAGAGAAATAGATGATAAAAACTTACACACTCCTAAAGTGCTGCTTATCACCCACTTCTGCCATTGAGGTAGGTTGAGAGGATCTCATTATCGTCAGCAACAATGGTTGGAAAAACGATAGCCGATCACAGCTGGATGTGCACCTTACCTCTGGGATCAGGGGAAGGAGTTGGAATCAAGACAATTTCTCCATCCTCGACTAGCTTCACCGTTCCTGTAGGGACATTCGGTGAGGAGTCTTTTGTAACAGCATATTCATGATGCGCGGCGTCGACCTCCTTCGTCATGTTTAACGCTTTAGGTCGGGGTAACCTATAACCTCTGAGAAACGATGTCGGGCGATTGCACCATTGATATAGAATTTGCAGGTAACCCATTAGAAATATCCTCTCGCGTATTGGGAGATACGTTTTTACCGGCCCTGTATAGCGCCGCTCTTTGTGCACGGGGTCCCCGTGGGGAAACCCATGTACCGGTCGGTAGCCGATCGCGGAGAAACCAACCAGCAAGCCTCAAGGTCGCCAGGAACTACCGGGATAGAGAATGTGGAGCCGAGGCAGGTCCGTGGCCCGTCCACGGCTGGTTGAACGTTGACAGCAAGGTTAGCGATATTTAAGACTCACCCGAGCTCGACCGAGTTTTGCCCCTCCGTACCGGCTAGGCGCACGTTAGCCTGTCAGAGTTACGGCTTCATTAATCAAAGCTGCTAGTCTAGTCTAGTCTATCATTTTAGCACTTGACACGGCGCGAAGACGGTAAAGTGGCCGTCCGAAGGTAACAAACTAAAGGTCGTGTGGCCACGGAGGAACTATTATGTTGCTTTTGCCCCCCCAGTAAGCTTCAGAAATTGCTCATAATAGTATCGTGTGAATGCTTGTGTATTTTTCTTTCTATAGCTTCTTGCATGTCTTTTTCTCCTGAAAGTGATCTCAGCACAAAGGTGGATTTGCAATATATGTCATGCTGAGTATAAGCGATTTGCGTACTAAGATCTATTGTACCGTGTGCTTTTGATGGATCAACGTAATAAATGTCATAATATAGAACAGATAGCTAAATTGAATACGTGATATTTAAATACACAGCTAGTAAGCGATAAAATAAATTCCCAATCTGATATCATTTAACAGGCATGACGCTTCTAACGCTTCGCAGCTCAGTAGGGAACCACACCGGCTAGCTTTAGCAACCTCTCAGTCTTCACTGGTTTGGTAAGAGGCTCATCCCTTTCCAGCGGGTCTGGTACCTCCTCTCCATCAACTTTGATTGTTGCCTTGCCATGGGTGTAGAGATTAGTATGTGGCCAATGGGTCGTAGTTTCAAAATTCTCGAATAGCTCCTTCTTTGCTGCTCGGTCTTCGTCAGACATCCAGGCCGCAGGTGTATAGGTTGCGTAGACAATTGTGCGAATAAGGTCAGAATCTCCAAACTGTGCCCAGTGCATCTCACGCGAGTCCCACAGAATCAAGTCACCCGGTTCGGCGCAGACTTTGACCAACTCACAGCCGTGCTCGCGGTACCAGTCCAGATCTTTGTCTGAGAATGGATGGAAGTCCTTGTGCTTAGCAGTTCGCCATGGCATGGGGCCTGTCACTGGGTTCTCTTCGAAGAAATTATCGAAGAGAGCGGCAGATCCCTTCATGACGACGAGACCACCGTCATTCGGTCCGGATTCGGATAGGTTCACAATGCCTTGAACACAAGACAAACCCTTGCGCTCTGGAGCCTGGTCACAGTGAGGCCAAGGCTTGGAATCATACTCCCCAACGATGGATTGAGGCAGTGTGATGTTGACGGTGTCGAAGGAGACAACCAGTTCATCGGTTCCCCAGAGTTTCGCAAATGGCTCAACAACTCCTGGTTCGCTGGACGCAAAATGTCAGTCACCCTAGTTTTTGAGCTCTAACAAGTGAAGCTTACGTTCTAACATCCCACATGTACTTCTCGTGTGCCGCAGCAAAGTGAAGATACATTCCACCTTTGAAGCTTTGGGGCAGGTTTTCTTTCTTCCATGTGCTTCTATCATTGCGGTCGAATCCGATATTGAATGACTCCAGCCAGGTGAGTGCCTCGCTCTGGTACTCCCGGGCGCGCTCCTTGCTCAGAACGCCCTTGATGACAGTGTAGCCATTCTTGAAAAAATCATCACGAAAGTCACCGTAATGGGTTTCCTGCTTCGTGCTTTGCTGAGACTTCAGAGGGTTGGGAGTGCTCATAGGCTCAGGTGTATCAACACGAGAAGGCGCCATATTGTCGTGTTATTTTCGTGGAGGTGAATATGCTATTGAGTAGGCAGAAAGAAATAATGAGATGATTGAAGAAAATAGATAATTACTCCAGACTCAGGGGATGTAGTCCGTAACATGCGGACTTTTAAACCTACAATGATTTTGTCTCGGGTATAAAGGGAACGTTCCACATCCGAGATCTTTGCCAACGAAAGATTAGCACGGCCGAACTCTTCCAGAACTCAGGAAGAGTGAATCTTGTGATCTTGTCAGTGCATCCTGTCCATATCGGCAATAATTTGGCATCTACCGATCGTTTCTCTATAGCTGAGCCGATCTCGGCCGAGCTCGCCCGAAGGCTCTCTTTTAGCCTCAAAATTTCCCCATAACGGGAATTATGAAGGTAATACCCCTGCCGAAACTCCCCACAGTACCGGCAAGATCCATGACTTAAAGATATAGGGGAGGACGTGGGCCAAGAGACGACAAGAGTCAACACCTAGCGCACATAATCTCTCCAAAGATGCCGCCGCCAGTCCCTACTGCCACTCGGCCAATCGATAAGCCATCCGTGGGCCGAAATAATTACCAACCCTTCGGATTTCGTGAGGAGGTTCTTCCTGCAGGTTGGAGCCATTCTGGCTCCAGGCCACTGCCATGTGACATCCATGCATCTCATGACGTTGGAGTTAAAGTTCGTGATGGAAGCACTTTATACTGCGACATCTACCGTCCTGCCGACGCTACAAAACCGGTACCCGCCATCTTAGCCTGGAGTCCATTCGGCAAGAAGTTCAATGGTATATCGATGCTCAAATTCTTACCATGGGGCCTCGGAATACCTAGCGGGGTACTCAGCGGCCTGGAGAAATTTGAGGGCCCAGACCCTGCTGATTTCGTTCCTCGTGGGTTCGCCATCATCAACGTCGATGCTCGCGGATCTGGCGACTCTGAAGGCACTGTGGGTATCATGGGCACGCAGGAGGCTGAGGATGGATATGATGTGATTGAGGCCGTGGCCAAGATGCCGTGGTGCAATGGGAATGTCGGGTTGGCTGGTAACTCTCACTTGGCCATTGTTCAGTGGTTCATTGCCGCATTGCAGCCACCTTCTCTGAAGGCCATTGCTCCCTGGGAGGCTTGTGGTGATTTGTATCGCGAGCAGTTTGTCCGAGGTGGGGTGTTTGATGCCGGTCTGTTCGACTTTATTATCGACACTAATATTCAGGGACACGGTGGGGTGGAGGACTTCCACGAAATGTATCGGCGCTACCCCAAAGCCGACGCATTATATTGGAAGGACAAACGACCGGACATCAACAAGATTAAGATTCCAACCTACATCACCGCCTCCTACACAAGCTTTGTACATACCATGGGCTCGCTGCGGGGCTGGCTGCAGGTGCAATCTCCACACAAATGGCTTCGTCTCTGCCCATGGCAGGAATGGTACGACATCTGGAATTGCAAGGACTCTGCCGATGACCTTGCAAGGTTCTTCGATCGTTACCTAAATGGCGCTGACAATGACTGGGAGAAGACCCCAAAGGTCCGGACAACTATTTTACGTTTTAACCAAGAACCACTGTACAATATTGCCGAAGAGGATTACCCCATCCCACGCACCGACTACCGGAAAATGTATTTCCACCCTGGCGGGCGTCTAAGCGTCGATGTACCGGAAACAGAAACATCAGTCTCTTATAATTCAGAAAAATACTTAGACTGCGCCAGCTTCACACACACCTTTGACACCCGGACACGGTTAGCAGGTGTTCCAAAAGCAGTCGTGTACATGTCATGCCCCGACTTCCATGATATGGACGTGTACGTGCTTTTGCGCAAGTTGGATGCCAATGGTAAAGCTCTGCTGAACCTCAATATTCCCTGGTCATCGATTGCACACCACGGGGTCTCTCAAGATAACATCGACGACATAACCCCTCGGAATAAGAACAATCTTATGTTCCATGTTGGATCATTGGGTATCCTTCGTGCGTCGCGCCGAGCCATTGACAGTTCCCGGTCTATTCTCGAAAACTACCCATTCCATCCACATGATCGTGATGAATATATCACACCGGGTGATATAGTAAAGTTGGAGATCGGCATATGGGCCATGGGAGTGGAGTACGAGGCCGGCGAAAGTCTGCAGGTGCAGGTACATGGGAATAGCCCGCTTTTGCGCGGTGAATTCAAGGAAGATAATGAGTTCCAAGAGCTTGCATCGCATGGGACTCACAATGTTCACATTGGCCCTGAATATCCTTCGTGTATTATCTTACCTTTTGTTTGAGCTGGGAACAAAGGAAATAACTAATTGATGATGGATAGTAGCTTTTCCACTCCTTTCTGCTTTATGATCATTCACGAATAGAACACTAAATCATCAATCGAGCTTTCCTTCACAGACATATACATTTCCATATGTTCTTTTGACTGAAGTAAATATTTCTGTATAGCCAGTAGTACATATCTAAATATATTTCAATCGAAGTCCAGTTCCATTCTTCAGATATTAGTAAGTTCTCAAAAGTGTAAAGTTCTCTGCTTATGCCCATAGATCGGTATAGCCGCGTATATAAAGTTCCATGTGCTTTATACCCCATGATTATAGTTGTATATCCTAGAGGTGTTACCGGACATAGCGTTAAACCGCTCTCAGCTCTCTGAGTATATTATTTCAGAACCTGAGCACTTCGATAACTGTTTTTTTCAGAGATCACATGCTTTGTAAAGGGGCCTGTGAGCATCATGTATATAGATATATCTATTTAACAAAGTACTGTATTCTACATGTGACTGTTGTTAATCCGGTTGCTTGTCAACCTTACAGGTAGCGTTTCTCCGAGGATAGCATGTCCCCTGCAAATTGGTACAACCTGACGTAAAAGAATTCAACAACATGTAGCTGCAATGTCCTAAGTTCCCCGTGTAGTGCAGAATGTCACGTTACATAGATAACGCCCATGGGACAACCGGGCAAACGGTTGGAAGTTTACACAGTCCGACAGCCAAAGTAGTCGAACAAAGAATGTACCTATACAGGGACGTTAAGCCGTTGCCCTGCGAGCGGAGATTACTTCAAGGGTCTGGTCCAGTAGCCGTTACCGAGACACTTTTAGGAATATATTTCGTACTCAAGCCCTTTGTCACACCCTTATTCTTGTGGTGTTTGGTTATGGGATTCACATAGCGCTAGCCTTTGTCAATCCTCCCAGTCTTTACACGTCAGTTGTGTTACGATAATTTCTTCCTCGACACATTGACTCGGTGTCTATGGTCTCTGTACCTTCTAATAGTATAAGCAACAATAATTCAAGTTAATGATAAGAACTATACATAGATCCTAACACTTCCTTTACGCAATTTCCTCTGTACCCCCAAGGACGGGGCAAAAAAAAAAAAGTCTCTTGCACATTTTAGGCTTTTAGAGGCAGAGTTCTTTATAATTTTATGACAGGCTTTGTTCATCCACGGTTTAGTCTGAGTTCCCAATCCTCACAAACTAACCTTCATTTTCTGTTTATCTTTCAAAAAGGAGCATTTATATATGGATGCTTCAGCTCTGAATTCCAGGCAAAATCTATCTGCACCAAATCCGCTGACTACCTTTGTGACCCAAACTTGAACCATTCCAGCCATGAAAGTCGTCAGATTCTTACAGACCTGGTCTGTCTGGGGAAGCTTGATTGTCTTTGGACTGTGTTTCCAGTCCTGCAATTCTGAATCGCTCCCCAACCCTCTCACCCCAGGTAGTTTACATCGACTGGACAATTCGACAACGGATGATGAACGCAATGCATACAGCAACAATGCGTTGAAGACATTTAGTGTTCGTGATCAAAATCGGCAAGAGTGGGAATCTGAAAATCGAATATTTTTAACTGGCCTCATGAAGGACGACTTTACCCTTGTGAATACAGAGACAACTCTATACACGGGCAACAACAATCAAAACGACAATTACGGGCACGCCATTGGCTGGAACCGTGATCCTAAGCTCATTCGATTCCGATGTGGATGTAGCAGGTTGAGAGTGAAAATGATAGAAACAGCGTGGCTTAATATCATCATGATGGTCTGTTTCGGTACCACCTCTGTTTCAGGAGGAAAAAAACAACTGACTGTCAAATAGTTGAATCGCGTCACACCTTTCATGCAGCGTCTTCGAGAATTAAATCAGAACTCTGATCCGATTCAAGCATTGACCGCTCAAGATAAATCCAGGTTAAATCTGTTCAGAACCTTGTATGCCGCTGAGCCACAACGTGGTCAAGCCCTCGATCGAGTCGAAAGTAAGTTGCCTAGTAGTCCAAAACGAGACGCAATTGGGAACTAATCTGATCCATGCAGGAATGAGGTCAAGTATACTTAACGCCATGGCCTCAGATTGGTACGCAGTTAATTTTTGGTGTGGCGATATGGATTGGATATTGGATGAAGAATACGAGATGATTAAAGACAAACCAAAACGCTGCGCTACACACAGTGGGGTTAAGCAGGGAAGGCATGCTGCATACCGTGAAAAGCCTGATGACCAAAGTTGGTCTTTCATTCTTCATGATATCTTCCCCCTTATAGTTGCTGACTGCCTCTAGTGATGTGGAGAAATAAACATGACAACTGGGTCACGTACACGGCAAAACGGAGTAGTTATTGCAAACGACCTGACAGAAGCACCCAGGGTGTTATTGCTGATCCGTTCGCAATTGCAAAAGGGGATCATATTATTATTTGTAAGCATTCTTTTACGCAGCAGTGGTCGCAGCACATCACGTCATTGCGCGAGAGGACGCAGTATGATATAATGAGAAATTCCCCCACCCGTGTTCTCTATCGTGTGACAGATTTAATCCCGGAAGGAGAAATTCTCAGTGTGCTCGCCATGTCAGAGAGTATACATGGTGAAAGATTGACTATGGACGATGCCAACAAGTTTGCCCAACTTCTTTTAGGTAAGTTATCGCTTTTATCCTTGTCTCTTCCCTTTGTCATATAGACTAATATATTGCCGTGGTATTTTCTCTTCGCCTGCGCGACAGGCCTATACTTGGAACAGTGCAACTGGAGTTCAACGAAGTTAACTTGCCGCAGCTTCGCAAAACAAGGGGGGAAAAAGTCTCAACCTTGATTCCGTTTGGGCTATTCACTCTTTCAGCGGGTGGGCGAAGTTTTCGATTCTCAAGCGCGAGCAGGTGGTCTGGGCAAGGGACATCAATATACAGAAGTTATTTTACCTGTTTCCCTTCTGTTCACACTATGTACCCATTGCTAATAACTGTAAACCTCCTCGCTGGCTCGTTTGACGCTACAATTGTGGTTGAAGTACTACCCTAATACCACATTTTATAAAAGCATGCGCTTAGATTCAGTAGAGCTCGGGTAAATGAAATATAAAAACCAAAGTGTTCAGGTAGTCTTAGAGAGCGTAGGAGACAATCAGTGGGCTTGTAATTTCCGCTTTAGAAGGTTTTATATAAACCTGTTTGTTAGCTGTTGGTACCCTGTCTTGCTGTAGTCTTCATATTTCAAATAGCTCCAAGGCCTATACATCGTACATCTTGTCTTCTGGGTACATGTGCGTCATAGGAAAATTTTCTAATTACTGGAACGAAGCCAACATCTGAAAGTGAACAGCACAACAATACAATGGTAATATATGACGGCTCAGAAGACTCCTTATCTTCCTTAGTCAGGCGCGGTATACAGGGTATAAAAGCTAACGGTGCCTGATAGATATGTGGCGACTTTCGAGTTATAAACGTAATGCTCACTGGCCGGGAAGGCCTATTCAGTACGTGGTAAGGCAAAGCGCTATACAATTTCTTCACTGCTCTAACCAGCCCATAGTATGTGCGCATGAACTATATAATCGACTACCTTAAAAGTCGACTATAGTTTTTTCAATTGTTCAGAGCTCAATAGAGCCAATTGAATGGATGATTTCGCTGTTGTGGATCATATATGCCGAATTGACCTAGCAAAATCTTGCCATCTCAGCCCGAAAGATGAAAATTTCAACTATTTCAATAACAATTTAGTGATACTCGAATATGTTTTACAAAAGGTATCATGTCGTGAATTGAAAAAGTTCGGCAGGGTTTTCGAAACATTTTCCGATGATAACGTGGAACCATGAAAGCATATTCTCGATTCAGTATAGATCGACTTTATGCATGACCACTATATTAGCACAGCAATAGTCACCTTTTCCAACGCTATCGATATTGACACGTCACAATGATTCTAAGCGAGGAGCATATGTGAGCTTAACCCTTTCCCGCCGTTGTGGATCTCGGTTTAGCTTTGACCAGGATGTGTTGTTTGGCGGTATTGACGGTTGTTTTGAAGGACAATGCTTTGGGCTTACCAACGAGTAGAGGGAATAGATAACCAGTCTTCAAATTGATATAGATGCAGAATAATAATATCTTAGAGAAATAAAGGCAATACGACAAGCTAGAATGGCCGCAATATTTTTTTTTCCAACACTAAGGAAGGAATTACAATACCCGAGGGGCAATTGCAAAGCCAATCGAGTAATGTAGGTATTTTGAACATGGCATTAATCAGTCAGACCCGAGCCACTAAACAGCAACACTAGACACTTATTGCAACATCTGCGGCGGTCAATATTCATTTCGCATCCGAGTCTGTATACGGTCGAGAAGAAAATCGTAAATATGTACCAAACGTGTTCGGGTGGCTGATCCCCAGACCCCGTTGGCCATGTTTGCATCCCGGACAAAGCTACCTAGTACGTTATTTGCGACTCTACTGCTATTTGATAGGTATGCATATTTCTATTTTCCTCACTTTTCTCCTCTTCAGTTTGAGTTTCACGGCTAATCTACATGCCTTTGTTAGGCGCTTCATCTCCTGGAGGTCTGTATCCCCCACCACACCTTTCAATTGTTAATACGCAGAATATATGTTCTCGGTTTGCCAACCGATAATAGGTACTCATATAGAGCATCCATAATAGGATATGCAAAGCATTTTATGGTCACAAGATGGAAATCAGTTCCTTGATCAGATCTGGAACATCACTCATATATTCCACTCAATGTCAGAGAGAGTTTTAACTGGAGTACATGACCCCGTTTCAGGCAGTATGTTTCTTAGTGATAACCCCCGCAGCCTGCCACATAGAAAGAAACAAAGGGCCATAGGATACTGCACCCCACAGCCAAGGTATCCAAAAGGACAGCAGGCCATTCCAAGCCAGTGGGCCATCATGAAAGCAATGTGCAACATACTCAGTTGGGATAGCCCACACTGATATGGTAGAGACGGTCCAACCAACCCAGCGAGGGATCAGAGGTTTCTCTCGACCATCGGAGAATATAGCCCATGATATTGCAAATGTCTGGAGTATCATGGGCGAGCCGATACACATGTAGAGAAGCCATGCGAGATCACTTGCAAGCTGTGTTATAAGTGGATCTCGGCCCGGGCGATACGCTGCGGCAGCGAAGAACGTTCCAATCAGTGCTAGAGCAAATCCGAGTAGACAGCCACCAGCTATTTGGAGAATTAAAATGGTGATGTGAATCCCTGGGATGCGTGCAAGCTGGTTACCGATACCAACTGCAAATAGTGGCCAGAGAGAGGATGCGAGTAGAAGGAGAAAAATGCCAATATTAATGTTATATTTGCTGTATTGGTAATGATCTGCTAGATCTTGCGATGCTTGAAGAGGGCTGGTTGGAGGGAGGAAACCTGAGGCCCCGAAGAAGATGAAAACTAGGAATAAAGCTATTGGTCCACACGCCAGAAATGCTTTATCTCTCCGACTATCAGATGGATTATAGCAAGAAAGGCTATGCTGGCAGTTTTCTCCCGAGGCCATGTTGAAATCAATAGTGGGCTAAAGAATGGAGAGGAGAATCGGAAAGTAATACACAAGGGAGTACAAGAATAGTCATGGTTCAAGGAGTCAAAATGCGGCAAATATTCAATGAAATGTTGTTGGAGATATCCACAACCCTTAGCGGTTACGCAATACGAGATCAGCAAAAGACATAAGCTCAAAACTAAAAAGAACTGTGATGATAGTGGTGAACAAACGAAGGCAACTTTCCTCTAAGCGAGCGTTTAGTGTAGATCCTAGCGTATGCTACGTCACTGAATGAATGTGTTCGGCAGGTATTTTACAAATGTCAAGTTTAATTTCATTTCCTTTTTCAAATCTATTTATTAGATATCAGGCCCCAATAAGACGGCATGGAAATTGGTTCCATCAATTAAGGTTCGTCAAGGAGCATCTCAGATCCTTCGTGTCGGGTAAAATTAATTGGTCGTCAAAGTGATCAACATATCACAAGGTCGCCCAGAGTGTCGGTGCCCAAATCCTTCAGACCTGCAGGCGTTTACATGAGGTACTGTTCAATCAAGTGGATTCAAAGGTATTAGCCTAAATTATCATGAGACGAGTCAGATTGCCATTGTTTACAGAAGTGCATCTTTGTGTAAACACAAAAGTAAAAATGCAAAAGTATCTCGAAATTCTCAGGTCGAGCCCTAATGCAGAGAGAATAACCATGAATCATGGACAGAATAAACAACTCAGCATGACAAATGCGAATGACCAACGCAAGCTTTATTTAAAAGGTTTCACATCAAATTCAAATCTACCATTGCAAGAATTGTGAACCCAAAAATCTATCTATTATTTCAAATGATGGATCTGACTCTTCATCTCGCCCTGTTCCTTTGTTTCTGGGCTTGTTATCTGTTTTTTGCAAAGCAACGGCAACAGCGCTCTCCATTACCGCCTGGTCCGACCCCTCTTCCGATTATTGGAAATATCCTACAGTTCAAAAGAAAAGAAGCAGTGTGGGAAACTATTTCTCAATGGAGTGATCAATATGGTCCCATCATGAGCTTCAAGGTCGCATCCCGGACGATTATCGTCTTGAGTACCCATCAAGCCGTTCGGGATGTCCTTGAAAAGACACCCGTTAACAGCAGTCGACCTCGGTTTATTGGAGTGAACGAGAATCTCACACGGTCCATGATGCCTATCTTTTTACCGATCAGCGACAAATGGAAGGCCATCCATCGCGTGCAATTAAGCCTTGTGAATCCACGATCAGCCAAGGGGATAGCAGACATTCAGTTGCTGACAGCAAAACAACATCTGTTCAATATGCTAGAAAATGCCAACTATGATATCGCCGATCATATCAATCGCTTCACATCGAATGTTGTTTCGACTGTGCTTTTTGGCACAAACATCGGGTCGGTCTCCCAGGCCAAGAGCAACGGCAAGTTTGGTCTAGCTGACCAGTTTATTGCTTCCATATGTGTGGAACATGCACTGGTAGATCTATTTCCAGTACTCGAGCACATACCAGGCGTGACCCGGCTGGGTGCTAGCAAAGGTAACGCCTGGTTTGAGTCCATCAAACAACAATATACCGATGATATACAACGCGCGATCAAGTCTCCAACATGGAGCATGATCAAAGCTGCTCACACGCAGAAAATAGGTGAAATGTCCGAGGATGCCTTCCGCATGTGGAATGTGGAAATGGAATTTGCGTTGGGGATGACATCGTCGATGATGATAGCGAATTTGGTGGCGATGGCTGTCTTGCATTCCCATGAATTTCGCCTAGTTCAATCGGAAATCGATCGAGTGGTGGGCACTGAGCGACTGCCAACATCGGATGATCTCGCTCATCTGCCTAGACTGCATGCTTTCGTGAAAGAGGGCATACGGGTAGCGTCAATAGTGCCATTCTCCGTTCCACATGCAGCCGTGGAAGAAAATGAATACATGGGCTATCGCATCCCAGTAGATGCCATCATACTACCTAATCAATGGCATATAAATCGTGAGACAAAATACTTTGAGGATCCCGCCTCATTCAAACCCCAACGATGGATCGACAACCCTGATCTTCCTAGTCCGGCTTTGTTCGGGTATGGGATAAGGATCTGTCCTGGTAGGCAGACAGCGAACAATGGCCTGCTGATTATATTGGCTCTTATGGCCTGGGGATTCGATTTCAACCAGGAAGGAGGGGCCCAGGACGGTCCGAATGGTTTGGAAACTCTAATCATGAAGCTCCCGACATCGAGTATTCGATATTCCTGTCGGAGTTCGGCGCATCAAGATCTCATCCAAAAAGAATGGCTTGCCAGTGACGTCGACCCCGGCTCAATTTTAAACAGTCTTGGAAGTAGTCTAGGCCTCTAGATAGATGAGTAGTGACTAGCTAGTTGGATTGTTCATGATAGGGTATTTCAGCTCCCTCTACCCATTGAACAAGTACGAAACAAAGACAATAAATGCTCATCTAGATGCCTACTACAAGTTAGTTCTGCAGTTAATGTGAACTCCGTGATGTATTTCTTCACAGAGCAAGTTCAATTATTCCAAGAACTCCGGAATCGCGGTCCAATTGCCGAGCTCTCAACTCTCAACTCTAGCGGCTCAATAGATAGAAAATGTATGCATACCTGTCAACTATAGGATATGTGCCTGAAAAGGCTACCCCGCTCCATAGTCCATCAAGGGACTATAGGTGGACCCCTTTGAATCAGCAAGATAAATCTGGGCAGTTGTGATAATCGCATCTCGCTTAACCTAGTCCATAGATCCAAACAAACTCTGTGGAATCCGCCTATCAAGGAAAAATACAAGGCCCGTCACCCCAAGTATTGAGAGTTTCTAGGAAGTGGGGGCTCTTTTGAGATCGGCTGCGAATCCTAAGCCCTAGTGTCGCTTACAGGATTTACCGCCCTGGAAAAGAAACACATTTCAAGGGAGTACAGAGTAGTTCGATCAGTTCACAGTTCAAAACTGTGTGGTTAAGAAATATTCAGTGTTTTCATAGGAATGTTGCGTTTTCGGTCAATATCAGGTAGTGCGGGGGGTAAAGTATGTGCGTAAAAACTGAAGATACTATTTTTTGTGTACGCTAAATGCATAGTCGAATTTATGATGAACTGAAAATTTAAAATACTGTCATAAAATTTATTACGATACTGTCAGGTGTTTGAAGATCATCATCAATGTGCATTTTATGATACTAATGCAAGATACGATTTCTCAGGGATTGACCTATCGTTCAATAATTCTCTCTAGACAAAAAGTATGTCCAGTAGTTGATCCTCTCGCGTTGTTCGGCTACCAACCAACAAGCCACCCAGGCTCTAGTGTGTATAGTTCTAGTATTAAACTTCAACGAGCTGTGTTTACTTGGGTTTAGGTCGATTATGCTTATAAATGTCGTGTATAAACATTCACAGCCACAGTACGTAAGCAAAAGTATATCAATGCTAACACCAGATCTTCCGAGATCTTCTGTGGATTTATATGGAAAGAATGTATATAGCCGAAAAGACCAATAATATCGACCTTTAAAGTTAAATGTCCCTAACTACCACCTATATGGCGTATCCGTGATATAATGATGATGATCGCTTTATCTCGTGCCATCACCTTTGACTTTCTGCTCATCATATCGATGTGTCACATCTTGCAAAGGTATGCAGTACTCGGCAGTTACGTGCCACGTCAACGAACCCACTATGTTCGTCAATGTGCTTGCCGATCAAATCTTAACGTCTCAAACTTTAGAAGTAACCTATTTGCTGGGCAAGTAATTCATGTATAGCCGAAAACAAAAGCAATCCCGTTACTATGTACAAATCTTGATCTCGTAACCACTTAGAACGACAAATTTAGTGTATTAGTCTCTGTCGAATTAAGAATTCGAAAGTGCATGACAAAAGAGAGCCAGCCGTGCTAAACGGTGGTAGTGGCTATTGTAAGGAATTATAAAGACCTCATTGATTGCAACAATCAACACCCAGAAGCCGAGCCAACTAACTTCAAAACAGAACTCATCAATATGGCAACCCCCTCCATTGGTATGTCCACAAGATCCTTTTCTACTCATAGATACACAGAAAAGCTAACAACTAAGCCAAGCATTCCGTCAAGAGCAGCTCTGCTCCAAAAGAGACCGACCCCATCTTCTCTCCATCCAATACTGCTATGACTGGATTCAAGATTTCGTTCCATACGTCCAACAAGCCTCCCTCGTCTTCAACGATTATATGGACTGTCAACCGGATGCTCCCTTGAACATCCCCAACCGGGCTGAAATACGTGCCCTCCTGACCAAACACTCTATCAAGCTCGATCCCGTCAAGGCCAACATGCCCTGGCGTTCGTCCATTACCAATGTCCGACAGAATATACACTGGCAGGCTGTGGTAGACGGATACACCAGAATTCTCCGGGCCTTTGCAGAGGACGAAATTGCAAAGCGTACTCCAAGTCCAGATGTGATTACTGTGGCTGATATGGCAATGAAAGAACTTAAGCGGGTGGAGGATGGGAGTTCGCGCTTTGTTACATATATGTATCCTTTTGCGAGTGAACATCGCGCAAGACTATTGGCGGAAATGCAGTGTCTCTCACTGCTATTCGATGGTATGTTCTTGTCCTCCCGGTGTGTGGTTATGGGGGTGGAATAAAGGCATAACTTAACTGGAATAATAGAATCATGGGAACATCATGAGCATGACCATGTAAGGTTTCGACGATTAAAATTTCTTTTATCGTTTCATACTAACTTGATAGAACCAAACCTTCTTCCTCTCTTTGATGCCACCAATTAATAATGAAGACCTCCACCCCAAGACCCCACTCCAAGAAACCGTGTGGAAGTCAATTGCGGCAGTCTATGAAGAAGATGAACGCGTTGGTGGTAATGGCGGCACGGGACTCATCGAGTTCCTAACTAACTATATCAAACACCCAACCCCCGTCAAAGATTTCAAGACTTTTACCGACTTTATGGATTATCGTTTTAATGATGGAGGCATGATGTATGTTTACCCCCCTTCCTCTCTCTATATATAGAAAGGCTATAACTTAGGAAAGGGTATGCTGGAACTCAGCCAAATTCTCAATCGGTTCGAATCTCAGTCTCCAAGAGCCAAAAATGGCCCGTATTATCCGCCTGCTTTCTGAACAGATGCTCGAATCCAACGACATCGCTTCATTTGATAAAGAAAAAAAGCACTGGTTGGCTGGAAACGCTAAACAATTCCTGACAACCAACGGGACCGCCATTATCCGAGATCTCTTCGCATTGAAAAGCGACGAAGCAGCGAAAGCGCTTGCGTATGCAAATCAAATGGAAACAGAGCGTCAAATTGACCGAGAACTAGGGGATTTGCTCTCCACGGGCCAATTATCGGCCGATGAATGGCATCTGGTTAATGCGATGCTATACTGTGTTACAGGGAATCTAATTTCAGCCGTTACGATGTGTCGGTATGGAGGTCAGGGTGCTAGAATCACAACTGCAGAGAAAGGGCTGAATGTGAATGAATTGGGTGCAGCAGGTATGTGGCCGGTGATTTTACTGTGTTCGGCTGGGGTTGCTTTGGCTTCTCAGAGGTATTTGGGTGTGATTAAGGCATGATTATTTTCTATTCCTGTTTTGGATGGTTATAATGAACATTATCAATTTTATTGAATCTTATAAGACTATTACCTACGTATTTTTCTTGTATCGTGTTCTAGTATCAATCTCTCCTCGTTTATCCTCTGATCAACAACTCAGTAATACCCCCTGTCACGCTAAGCTATAGATTGCTCTTTTTATACTGACTCGATTAATTCGCCTTAGCTAACGCGATACATGATAAACAGGTGTACAGGAAGCAGGCAGTCAATTCAGCAGCCTCTTCCATGAAGCGGATTTTATTCTTCTAAAAGTAATCTGCTATTCATTATTTAGCTTTTACCGCTGTCTAAACTTCTAGTTTCTAGATTTATTCAGATGAGCAGAATATACTGGCCACGTCTTTTCATGATAGATGCCCAATCATGATTGGATGATTCCGATTTTCTTAGTCGCCAGCATTCTTCCATGAGACCCAAGGCCTCTAAGCACGTTCCGTGCGTTATGCGTGGTAAGGACACAAGCTCCCGGAAAACCTTTTGTTGCTCATCCGCTGCCAAGCATCCAGAGATACAGTACGGCCAGACCACATGTTGTAACAATTTTGGGTCTGGTAAACTTCGAAGGGCGTCGATAGTTTTCGAAACGCTTCTCTTGATATCCGGAATATCAGGATAAGGACCGGAGATGACTACATGGAGGTAGGTGATAGCTGAGAGTGCAAATATTCTCGTAATCTCGGTTTTGATGAACTCTGGTCGGAGGTGAGTGTCGACTGAAGCTCTTTTCGAAAGGTCGAGTTCGATACTAGCCAGTCGGCTCAGTAGGCGCTCCTCAATTTGTCGAGCACGTTTTGTCAACTCTATGAGGCTCAATCTGTGAGCATCCTCCTCTTCTTTTTTCCACTTGTCTAACGATGAGATCTCGAAGATGGCGATCATGACCCAGTTACTGCAGCCTATTAAATCCGCCAGGTTGACTTCGCCTGTCTCGAGCAAGACCTTGTGGTCCGATATCAAAAATTGGCTTGATCGAGTCGAGGCACAGGTGACAATATGCATGTGAACGAAGAACCCAAGGAGAAAGGTGATTGAAGTATCGGGATGCGGAATGGCCCTGTCCTGCTGCTCTTTTGTTTGATCTTTTCTTGCTATAGCTGACCCCATCTGTGCTTGCACAAGCGATTGAAGTAGGGCATTCGCTCCTCCAAGATGTATCTGCCAGTTGTGTTTACCACCGCTGCATGACTGTTTTTTTTTCACGAAGTGATTAGCATTGAAGATCACATTAAAGAGGAGAGGAGCAAGATCGTACTTCGTAGAACAATAGATGAAGAATAGTAGTAAGAACTTCGACACTGTGGGTGAGATCTAGGTTTCCGGTCCATGCAGAGGACCGTGGAAGACTGGTTTGCAGTTCTTGGAGAGCCAAATCGTAGTGTCCAGCTCCTGTTCTGACAGGATAAGCGCTTCCATGCTGCGTGGAAGTCGAGTGGTGATATTCGCTCAAAGCAAGAGCTGCGTGATAGGCCGAGTTAACCCGCTTCAGGATTGAAAGCAGCCAACCTCGCCCTTGCCGATTGGAAGGAAAGTAAAAAGGACAATGCATGTAGAAGACATGATCAAAGTAGTACATGAATAAGATGTCATCCACATCTCCATGCAAAATTGAATTGCTGAGTCCGGCTGGTTGGGAAACAAGATCGGTGGAACCTGAACGCGAAGTCCTTCGTGCGCAAAACGACCAGTCCGCTTCACTGCTGTATTCAGATAACTCCGATGAGCAATATTCGCTTAATATCGGGTTGCACAACAGATCCATAGAGTCCAGGCTCGCTTCGGATGAGGAATTTGATCTCGACACATCAATGGAACCTCGCACGTAATTATCTTCAGTGACAGGCGATATACTCGCTGCTAGTGTCTGAGAAGTGTCGGAGGAGGACTGATTATATGAGCTCATGCGAATAGTCTGATTGCAGAAGAGTTCCGTCGAGAAGTCGGCGTTGTTGAGTGCTTCACTCCATATCGGCTCGCTGGAGGTGTGTAAATCTCCGTCTGTACCGGGAGGCTGAAGGTTACATTGGTGCACCGGCCCACTCTGCAGGAGAGGTTCTTGTGCTGGGCGTGCTGGGGGATGGTTTGATGTGGCAATGGTCCCAGAAACCAAAGTCTCTAATCCATGTTCCACATTATGCGATGTGCCGGGTAATTCACTCTCTCGCATGCCGGCCTTGATCTGGGCAATTATCTGTGTCTTGTAGCGAGCTTGTTCCCTCTGTAGGTCTCCCCTGTCCATCCAGTAAGGCCTTGGCCCATAACCATCGCAGGCTAGCTGGAGAGACGTGCATCGGAAACATGAAGGGTGATTCTCGTCACATTTCTTTTTCCGGAGTCGACAAGTCCAGCAGCCATGAGTGCTTCTACTGGCTAGCTTGCGAGACATGCCGGCGGCCGACTGGAGGTTCACGCTGATAAAATCAGCCAATGCTAACTATTCAGCTCACAGTAATCCCAGTTTGTCTTATCAGCCAAGGGCGATCTTTCGCATTTCTTGGCTTCACTGTATTGTACATAGGTAAGCACTCAACGACATGGAATATCTTGGCACTCCGCTAGCTCACCTCTTTCTCGTGTCAGAGAGCAGTATCTTCTCCATGCATGTGAGGCTCTGGAGAGCCAAGCGAACCATGTAGCAGGAAATCACAGTTCTCCTGTGTGGCAGAGTGACCCAGATTGATGGGTAGAACTCTAGTATAACGAATAGATCAGACCCTATTCTTAGCTCCTTAACTGGTATCTATATAGTTTGAGCTCTGCGCGCCTAATGTCGGGCGGATGCCGATATACGCTGAAGCATATGCATGCCAGACGCAAAGGTTAACGTATTCGGTAAGTGCGAGGGTGCCAGCGTATACAAAGTCGATCAGCACCTTGAATAAGCCTATTCTATTATCTCAGCCACCAAGCCTTTTGAATATTTCAACCTTTGTTAGTAGTATATGATACTAACAGACTTTTCAGTTATAACTACACATATCTTATATAAATATGCTACAATTCTCAGAGTAATATGCATTACAGCTGTATTAATCAATGAAGAGGATAATACCAATTTATCCGACATATAGATCTTCAGAAATTCTAAAAATTTTAGTATATATGATCTTCATGTCAATACGAGATCTCATATTATTAAACTTTAGGGCCTCCAACCTCTTCGTGGTGGATACAATAGGTTACTCACAAGGGTTAATTTCGCTTATGCAACTTGCATAGATCGCTCGTTTTACCACCGACGTTAGTGGGATAGCCGGTTACCCGATACCGGGGTCAACCGACCGATATAACATCGGCAGTGCAGGGGTCATTACTTACATAACAGCCACAGCTCAGAGCCAATCACCAATTTAGAAATTAGAATAGTACTGTAGTTGCTAATATTAGTGAGTGAGTGAGTTAGCTAAGCCAACTACTAGCTAACTTTCCAACATCGGTGAATAATTGCGTGATTCAATCATAAACTTAGCGCGCTTATGACAACCTAATACATATATACATACATACCTTGCGGGAGGACTCGGGGGCTACTTCACCGTTCACCTCTTTTTCAGAACCCCTCCTTAGGCATAAGGAAGAAAAGAAGGGCCCATGCTACGGAGTACTCCGATATGTTGCAGTGATCTAGTTTAGATTTAGTAAGTGGGTCGTAGCGAGAATTCTCCTACAACGCGCTAAGACATCGTATCCCAAACTTAGCAGAGGTGGACCATTATCCCGACAGGTGGTAGCGTCGCGGCACCGCCCGTTGTCATTGCTCTACCAGGGCTTGCTGCAGTCTGCAGAGTCCAGACATGGATCAATACCGGCATCGCATGTGGCTACGTATCTCTTAAGCCGCCATCTTTCTACATGGGGTAGCTGATCTGCAGCCTAGACCGAGTGGTATGCATGATACTACTACATGCCTAGCAGGGGGCGGGAAATGAAAACAAAGAGAAAACCACCGGGAAATAGCCGACCCACCAATCAAATATATCAAATATATCATCCATCGATCTAGCGCTCAAGCCAGATGCTTAGCGCCCACTACCGCCCGGGGAAATGGACTAGTTTGCCAATTGATACAGATCCACATACTTTGTTTCCCGGCTTCGAAGCCCTGCGGACTCATCGCTTAACCTGACCTATGTGCACGACCGAGTCGGACCGACACAAGCGGAGTCATGGCCCTGTGTCCCCTTTAGACTTTAACGTGGAACTTTTACACGCGACTTTTCGACAGGTCATCGCTGTTTATGCATATGTTGAGCCGAGGATGTGGGGTGAATTTGGTTACTCCGTACTACTAGTGGGTGCTGTAATTTGTTGTATCCCTAAATACGGTTCTCCAGTTTCCTTCCCGCTTCCACCGCCAGCTTTTCTGTTGGCGGTGCCCCGTGCCATGCGGTAAAGGAGCCAATAAGGGCCATTGATGCAGCGCGGCAAGAAATAGAACATCCATGGATTAGACCATCTATGGTATTGTACCATCATCCAACAGTATGGTACCATCATCTGACATTAAATCGTTCTGTGACTTCTGGCGACCTATGTAGTAGTCGGAATTATGATATCTAGTAGCTAATGTAGTTCAAATCCCAATAGGAAATATAGTAAGATATTTAGTATTATTTATTCATTCGAACTTATTTATTTATAGAAAAACTTGAAGTCTTTCCTAGGATCCTGGGTAGTTATATATACATTAGAACTACTAAGTGTTAGAAGTATCTGAAAGTTCTTATACCTGGGTACCGTATTATATATATTTGGAGGTGAAGTAGCTATACCAAAGGTATCTGTACTAGACTTTAACAGTAAATTTTAACTTGAACCACTCTCTATCTATAGTATTGCAGTCAACTGCTGAATGACTTATGTGAATGTAATCAGTCTGCGCGTTAGAAGTCCTCCAACAATCAAGCTTGTGCCAAGCACTATAACATTCGCCAAGGAAAGCTTTTCTAGAACTCCACCCTCTTCAACAACGCGGCCTACCTTGTGCAAAGGTCGCGTTTGCACAATGCTTTTAGCAGATCCTTCCGATTCATAGTCCCGATAGTCCACTTGCTCCATCAGCTTCTGGAATTCCAGCACCGTGCCTGGCCAAAGATTGGTGATCAGCCCTGACTCAGTTTTGTACCAATTGGTGCATTGGGAGTCGTTCACGGCGAAGTCCTTGAGTCGATATTGCAGCTGCGCGTTGTACTCTTCGGTCTTTTCCGGGCGTGGGATCAGGCTGAGTGTCCTTCCTTGCTTTCGGGCTTCTAGCACCGGCTTGATCAAGCCATTGATATACCGGCTTTGCGCCTCGATCATCAGAATGAAGCTGTTATGGAGCAACCCAGTGTTGGGGCCCAGTATCATTCCAAAATTCGGCATGTCGTCGGCGCAGGTACCCTGGTAGGCCTGAGCGCCATCCTTCCACATCTCATGCAAGGCTCGACCGTCCCGGCCGAAGATCTTCATTGGATGCAGGAAGTCGGTGGCTCGAAAGCCGGTTGCAAAGACGATGAGATCATAATCAGAGTCCGCATCCTCTGCCTGTCCCGCATTGCCGACCAGACGCACAGTATGGTCGTTGATGCTATGAATAGGCCTCGCCTCAAGGTCAACATTGGGAAGGTTCAAAGCTGGGAAAAAGAAATCCGAGACGACCACCCGCTTACAGCCCACCGGATAGTTGGGTGTCAACCTCTCCCACAACTCAGGTTGGTTGGGGAGCTGCTCGTGCATCATTTCCAGAGCGGCTTGTTTCAGCTTTCTATTTTCCTCATGCTCAGCGAAGTTGTTAGAAATGTATTCTGTTTCGTTGATGTCCACATAGCGTCTGCGCCAGTACCGCTGCCAGAAAGGGAAATAGCGGTAAAGGGTTTTCCTCAAGTTTGAGATCTCGTAGTCCCCACGAGGTAGGATCCAGTGAGGTGTTCTTTGGAAAACTGTCACCTTTTTCGCCACCTTAGCGAGCTCAGGTACGATCTGGACTGCACTACAGCCTAAGCGGAGACAAAAAGGGTCAGTTGAATAACAGAAGATTTGGCATCAGGGCCGACATACCACTTCCTACAACCGCAATTCTCTTATCTTTCAAGTCGTACGTCCAGTCCCATGCAGCACTGTGCATAGTCTTTCCTGTGAACCTATCCAAACCTTCGATTTCCGGCCATTTTGGCTGACTTAGCTGGCCCACAGCACTGACAAAGAAATCACTAGAGATCGTGTAGTGGGAGGTGGCCTCGGAATCTTTGGAGCCTTTGGCAACCGTCACGCTCGTCTTCCACTTCTTAAGCTCATCATCCCAGGTCGCGGACTCGGCAGTGGAGCAGAACCGGATATGCTCGTACAGCCTGTATTCCTGCGCCACCCGGGTCAGGTAGGACAGAATTTCTTTCTGCCCTGGGAAATCTCGGCTCCAATGGCTATTGGGAGCAAAGCTGTAGCTGTAGACAATGGACTGCAAGTCGACAGCGCAGCCAGGATACGTGTTCACGTGCCTATCCAGCATGTGATTAAATATTCCATCTGTATTATACGAGGATGGCTGGATTTGCTCACCATGTGCCACCGACCCCGGCAGACTGTTCCAAAATGACAAAGTCTTGGCAGTTATTGCGTTTGATCAAATCAATCGCAACGCACATGCCTCCAATGCCGGCTCCGACGATGACCACGGAGGTATTGGTGAACTGTTGTCCACTGTCCAACGAGAATTCCGGCCATGATTTTTTGAACGCCATGTTTGCTTCCAAAAAAAGTTGGTAGAGAATACAATTTTTTATCTTCTTCTTCCTCTTCTTTTGGTGCTGCGTCGCTGGAGGCAGCGACACTAACCATGCCCGTATAGGCAGCATATGTAATTGAATGATCGTTCTAACAAGACCCTTACCGTATTAGTGGGTACGGTCCCGAACCTTGGGCGGCAGAGCTAAAGAAAGCGCCGCCGCCATTGAAGCCGCGGCCACGCTGTGGTGGGCATGATGGGCCGCTAGAGGCGCGCGGACACTCCACTGCCAACTACCTAGCGATCACTGGGCCAGACCCTCGATCCCTTACCGCGGCAAATGTATCGCCGGAAAATTTGGGATACCCTGTAACTAGTGCTTAGCCCCCTGGACTCTGACTTTTGGCGCGCATCATCCATAGACACAAAGTACACAAGATGCTCTTGTTTTGCGCGGTAGAGCTAAAAAAATAAGAGAAAAAAAAAGAAAAGAAAAAAAACATAACAAAAGCCATGTATCAAGGAGAGCTCAAAGTCCACAGGCGGCAAGACTAAACTAAAGTTGTCACAAACTGGTGTAGTGGGCAGAAATACAATGTGTAAGTAGTATTAGAAGAAGTTGGGTACTCCAGCAGTGTGCAGAGGACAGTATCATTTGTGAGTCCGCAATTTTACAATTCACAAGTACCACCAACTCAAGTTCAGCTTCATACAGCCCCACACGAATATAGAAATGGTTGGCCTACTACTTTCGTCGTCTGATGACGTAAACCCCAACGACAATGGACTATTCCATACGAATAAAGGAAAGCCGCGACTGAGTGATCCTGAACAGAAAGTATTGGGGAGAGAGCAGTTGCCCTTACGTGATCTTCAATATCTTCAATCACGAGCAGACAAATCGATCGAGCATGATATTGAGGACATTGAATGGCCTCAAGATGTCAAGTTCGATCAAGTGGTTGAATCTGCGTGGGCAATACTTCTGTCTTGGTATGGGGAGGCAACTGATACTGTCTTCGATGTTGCATTGCCAGTATCAAGAATCGAACAACAACTTTCTGGACCCACAACCGTAACCGTTCGTGTTGCGATTGAAGCAGACATGACTCTAAGTGCATTACAACACCAAACGAGGTTACCAAAACTGGCGGGATCACCGACCACTCAAGGCATTGGCGAGGAGGCTGACCTGGGCTGGCAATCTCAATCATTGCTAATGGTACAATCCACCGTTGAGGCAGATGAGGCACCGATCTTCGACGAAGGAATAGAGTCGAACACATACGCCGTCACTTTATACTGCGACGTAAGAGATACTTCTGTATTCGTGAACATGGCCTTCGATTCGACAGTGCTCGGCGAACAGGTCGCATTACGGGTCGTGGACCACTTCGGTCACATATTGCGTCAGGTCTGCCGTGCTGACATTGCCCGTACGAAAATCAGTGATCTAGACGCGATGACTGCAGAAGACCTACGCCAAGTCTGGACGTGGAACGCGAAGGTACCAGAAGAGGCAAACGGCTGCGTTCATGATTTATTTTCACAGAGCGTTTCTCGATATCCACACAATACCGCCATCAGTGCCTGGGATGGCGAGTTGACCTACGCTCAGTGGGACAAGCTCTCAACCCAACTGGCACATCGCCTCATCCACAAGGGGGTTCGTCCTGGAGATGTGCTCCCATTGGTTTTTGAAAAGTCCATGTGGGTGCCAGTTTCTCAATTTGCTGTCATGAAGGCAGGTGCCGCGTCTGTGGTGATCGATCCTTCGCAGACCAAGGAACGCATCAAGACGATGATCGATATTGTAGGGCCTGGCCTTATCCTATGTGCTCCTTCAACAGCTCCTCTAGTTTCTCTCATTACGGAAAGAGAACCATTCGTGGTGCAGCAAGAGACTGTATCAGAGTTGCTGGAGAAAAGACAAAATGGAGGCCTTGGGACAACATTGCCCATCGTCAAGCCGAGCGACCTGCTCTATGTCGTGTTCACTTCCGGCACCACAGGTAACCCAAAAGGTGCGGCAATAACACATGCGAACTTCACATCGGCAATCAAGCATCAGAACAAGTACTTGAATTTCAAACCGACAGCAAGAGTTGCAGGTTTCTGCTCGTACGCCTTTGATGTATCATGGTCCGATTTCATCCACACACTCGCGGCGGGAGCTTGCCTATGCATACCATCAGAGCACGACAGAAAGCATGACTTCATTGGATACATGATCAAGAATGAGGTGACCTTTGTACACCTTACACCCTCGGTCGCCGCGATTCTGGACTTGGACAAAGTGCCAACACTTGACACGGTTGCCCTTATCGGAGAGGTCGTAGACTTCGATAAGTTGCCACAGCTTCGAAACATTGAAACCACGATCATCACATACGGGCCGGCCGAGTGTACCGTGACTACAACAGGAGTCATCAATAAGGGTGGCACTACTAAGGCTACCATTGGATGGGCGCTTGGATCAACCACCTGGATCGCTGACCCAAACAAAGATGCCCTTACTCCCGTCGGGTTGGTCGGAGAGTTGCTTCTAGAAGGGCCATTGGTTGGAGCTGGATATCTGAATAATCCCGAGAAGACAGCAGCTGCCTTCATTGAGGATCCAATTTGGTTACTACGAGGTGGTGCACGAGTGGAAGGCCGTCGTGGACGTCTTTATCGAACAGGAGACCTGGTACGCTACACTCCGGATGGTGAACTGATCTACCTCGGGAGAAAAGATACCCAGGTCAAGATTCATGGACAGCGCACGGAGTTAGGCGACGTTGAGCATCATATCTGTCGAGTTCTGAATTCGATGCCGGCTGTGGCTGATATTGTCGCCGAAGTTGTCACGCCAAAAGTTACCCAACGTCCGATGTTGGTAGCCTTTTTACTCATGCCCACAACAAACCCTGAACAATTGGGTAAAAAGGTTGCCCTGATTATCGAAATGCTGGAAAGACAAATGCCCCACCAGGTGCCACCTCACATGATCCCAAGTGCATATATTCCAATGACCGACCTGCCAAGGGGGTTAACAGGAAAGACAGACCGGAGAGCACTTCGTGAAATGGGTGCTAAATTGGACCGCAAAGCTCTTGCATCTTTGTACGATGCCAATCCTGCACAGCACATCGAACCCACTACCGAAGCTGAGATACAGCTCAGGGATCTTTGGGCGTCCGTACTTAATATTCCAGCGAGCGACATTGGGACACAAGACAACTTCTTGCGCCTTGGTGGTGATTCGATTGCCGCCATACGGCTAGCAACTGATCTCGGACGAAAGGGGATGTGGTTGACGGTCCCCGATATTTACAGTCAGCCACAGCTCAGTGAGATGGCCAAGCTCATGTCTCGAGGCCAGGCAGTAGCCCCGGAATCTGTTCAACCATTTTCCTTATTGAAGGCCGAGATGGACAGGGATGACACTTGTCGCCAAGTAGCAGAGCTTTGCTCCGTCGGCGCTTGGCATGTGGAGCCTTCACAGATCGAGGATATATTCCCGTGCACAGCGCTTCAGGAGGGCCTTTTGGCCATGACGGCGAGGAGCCCGGGCAAATACGTGGGCCACCAGATTACCGAGCTGAAGCCAGAGGTTGACATAATAAGGCTCCAGCGGGCATGGCAAAACGTCTCTGAAAAAGCTTCTATACTTCGAACCCGCATTGTAGACCTGCCGGGCCAGGGCCTAGTACAGGTTGTCCTTAAAGAGGAATTGCAATGGCAGACCTTCTCCTCTTTGAATGAATATCATCAGAGCAGAAAGAACACCGACAAAGAATCGCAGGAAGATGTTGTCGAAACTACTGCGATGGGCCTGGGCACCCCCTTATCACGTTTCGCAATCGTACATGACGAAGCGGCAGGCAAGAAATACTTAGCGTTGACACATCATCATGCGACGTACGACGGCTGGTCCGTCCCACTTTTGCAAAAAGAGGTGGAAAAGGCGTATGCGGATGGGGAAGCAGGACTATCCTCACTTCCGCTGCAAAGCTTTGTGAACTATGTCATGAAACAACATGGCGAAGAGGGGACCACTTTCTGGAAGCGACAATTTGCTGGCGTAGAAGCATTGCCGTTTCCTGCCCTCCCCGCCAAGACGTACGAGCCAAAGCCAGATAAGGTCATCCACCACTCGACCGATAGCATTCGCTGGGCCACTTGCGGTGTCACGCCCTCTTCCATGCTTCGTACAGCTTGGGCAACACTCATATCATGGTACGTGGATTCTCCAGATGTAACATTTGGAGCTGTTGTGTCGGGCCGTCAAGCTCCCGTGCCAGGAATCGAGGACGTGGCAGGCCCTACCATCGCCACTGTCCCACTCCGAATCCTGGTCCGCGGAACCGTCGACGAACTGTTGCATCAGGTACAAGGACAGGCGATGGAGATGATCCCATTCGAGCAGTACGGTCTGCAGCACATTCGTCAAATCAGCCAGGAGGCGAAATACGCCTGTGACTTCCAGACACTTTTGTTGGTCCATCCATCAGTCGAAGGAGGGACAGTCGAGAGCCTGGTTCTTGAGGAAGGTCTTAATGACGAAGAAACAGGATCTGGCTCAGAAAACACATATGCCATGATGCTTACCTGCCAAACATCGGAGTCAAAGTTGGATATGCAACTGAGCTTCGACTCGACCGTTGTCCAGGAAGAAGCTGCAGTACGACTCCTTCAGCAGCTAGAGCATATATTGGGTCAAATGACCTCTGTTGATGGCTCGACAAACATAGACAATCTCAACAGACTCAGCGAGCGTGACCTGCATGACATATGGAAATGGAACGCAGTAGTGCCGGAGAGCGTTGAGGACTGTGTCCACAATGTGTTTGCCCAGAGGGTCGCCGAAACTCCCGAAGCACCCGCCGTGTGCGCATGGGATGGTGAGCTGACATATCTCCAACTTGATCAATTTTCCACGTTGCTGGCGGGCCGCCTCATCAGCTTGGGGCTCGGAGTTGGACCAGGTGCTATTGTGCCACTGTGTTTTGAAAAGTCAGTATGGGTGCCAGTTGCAATATTTGCAGTCATGAAAGCCGGCGCTGCGTCTGTTGCTTTGGACACAACATTGCCTCGCTCCCGGCTGGAGAGTATTGTCAGCCAACTATCAGCCAAGGTGATGCTGACCTCGAAGTCTTGTGCAAAGCTTGCGGCCGATATCACCGATGCCCCAACAATGGAAGTGGGAGGTGATTGGAGAAATGTCGAGCAGGTATTTCAACAGATTCCCATTCCAAGAATGCCGACAGTTAGCCCATCATCGCCCCTTTATATCGTCTTTACCTCCGGAAGCACAGGCGCTCCGAAGGGGGCGACCGTCACGCATGGCAATTTCTGCAGCGCCATCCGACATCAACAACCAGACCTCGGGTTCGAAAGGTCATCGAGAGTTTTCGATTATACCTCATATGCCTTCGACGTTGCATGGTCCAATGTGCTGCACACACTAACCGTGGGTGCGTGTCTCTGCATTCCCTCGGAGGACGAACGTACCGCCGACATCAACGGCTCCATCAACCGGCTGCAGGCAAATTTCATCCATCTTACACCAACCGTTGGGCGCTTGCTCGATCCTACAGCCTTGAACGGTCTCACAAAAGTTTTGTTCATTGGAGAGGCGCTCAAGGCTAGTGATGTCGCCAAATGGGAGGCTTCTGGTGCCAAAATCTACAATACATACGGCCCTGCTGAATGCACCGTCACGAGCACAGTTGAGAGAGTCCGAAAGGGAGAGCCTGATATTAGAGTCGGTGACCCCGGGATCGGCAAAGGTACTGGCGCGTTGGTTTGGGTAGTCCAACCTCGTGCGCCTGACAGGTTGGCTGCTATCGGGACCATAGGCGAGTTGTGGCTCGAGGGACCGATTGTTGGTGCAGGCTATCTGAATAATCCTGAGAAGACAGCCAGTGCATTTGTCGAGGACTCCAAATGGCTATTGAATGGAATTCCTGGACGAGTACCAGGTCGCCGTGGGCGACTCTACAGGACGGGTGACTTGGTCTACTATAACCCAGATGGCTCTCTCCAATTTGTTGGGCGAAACGATACTCAGATCAAGATCAACGGCCAACGAATGGAGTTGGGAGAGGTCGAATACCACGTTCGTCAAATACTTCCTACCAAGGCGGTCCCACAGATCGTGGTAGACGTAATCACCCCGGACGCTACTCGGACCCAGACTCTGGCGGTGTTCTTGGTCATGTCCGACGACGACTGTGACAGAGTTGAGGTAACTGTGCCGATGATAGCAAACATTCGAAAGGAGCTGTCGAAATTGCTCCCCTCGTACATGGTTCCCGGCGTATACATCCCTATTCCCCTTGCAAAGCTGCCGATGACAGCAACAGGGAAGACGGATAGAAAAGGTGTTCGCGAACTTGGCAGAACCTATAGCCCACCAGTGCCTTCATCTGCAGACACGCCGACTTCTGCTGATACACTAACCAATACGGAAGAAGCCTTGAGGAGTATCTGGGCTGACCTACTTAATATCAAGCCTGATCTTATCGCTGCAGGTCATAGCTTCTCTGAGGTTGGGGGCGATTCAATCAAGACCATGTCACTGGCTATGGTAATACGGAAGCAATTCGACATCAACATTGGGGTACCACGGTTGGTCAGACAGCAGAATAGCTTGCGTGAACTGGCCACCCTGATCGACAACCTGTTGCACGGCCAGTCGGTTGAGGAGCCGACGCAGCCGACACCGACTGACCTGGAGCGTGAGATAGACTTACTGGTGGACAAGATCGACTTTGACCGTACCGCTATTGGGCCAACGGTCTTCCTCACTGGATCAACCGGGTTCCTAGGAACTCAAATTCTTCATTACACACTCACAAAGCGGGTATTCAACAGGGTCGTGCTACTTGTACGTGGTCTTGGCGAACAGAAGGGGCTAGACCGGGTGATCAAGACGGCCAAGATCGCTGGGTGGTGGAAGGAATCGTTTGCTTCCGCAATTGAAGTCTGGGATGGAGATCTCTCGGCTGAAAGACTGGGCCTGAACGATTCACAATGGAGCGCGTTGTGCGGCCGTCCAAGTGCACATGGTACTATCGATGCGATTATCCACAACGGTGCCAGGGTGCATTGGACTACGAGCTACGAGGGGTTGAAAGACGTGAACGTTGGTTCTACGATACAACTTCTGAAAGCCGCAATGGCCTCTTCTTTCCTGAAGAGTTTTGTTTACGTCTCGGGTGGTCTCATCACGGATAGCCGAACCTGGACCGAGGAAGAGGCCAGGATAGCCAACGGATACGATCAAACGAAGTATGTGTCGGAAAGACTGGTGAGTACCGCTGCTACACAGTTTGGCAAACAAGGCACGATATTCTCGGTCGTCAAACCGGGGCAGATTATTGGGGACGTGTACACAGGTGTAGCCAATGCCGACGATTTCTTGTGGAGGGTCGTGATGGGCGCGGTCCGGCTTGGAGCCCGCCCAGTCGACTCAGAGACATCGTGGCTCTCGGTGTCGGATGTTCGTCACGTCACAGAGTCCATTCTATGGCAGGCAGCAGGGAAGGGTTACGAGGATTTCGTCCACATCAAGAGGGGAGTATGGGTCAGTGCCTTCTGGGCTGCCGTCGAGGACCAAATCCAGCTGCAACTCCGACCGGTCTCGTGGGCCGAGTGGATTAAGCTTGCCCACGAGGACATGGCTAGGGAGCAAGAACAGCATCCGCTATGGCCGGTGCAGCAGTTTCTAGGCGCTCTCGGCACTGAGATTGAAGTCACTGATCATGAAAATGATGAATCGGACATGCGAGAGGTGCTTGCTGCCGCGCGACAGAACATTGAGTACCTTCGAGGCAAGGGTTTCTTGGAAACCACCGGCAGACAGACGATGAATGGAAAGGTAATAACGAGGACCCGGGATGTACCTATGATGAGTGTGAAAACTGTTAGCGCCTGATACACACTCATGTTTCAGGACTGTATACTAGTTAGTATAGATGTGAAAGTCTACCAAGTGCTAGCTGTCAAATATCCATATATATACCTATATGCTACTAGAACCCCTAAAATTCAACTAATATCTATATTATATCCCTAATGGATATGCACATCAGACACGACGAGCAACGTAATTATTGGTGGAGGTGATATATTGTAGATGGCAAACTACAACAACATATAGTGTTAGGGAATGGAATGTCCAAGGCACGACCTTAGTGCCATATGGTGTTTGGTGGAGTGGTATTGAGACATGGTGTGCCTATCCATAATTAGACGTGTGGCATAGGCATCTCCTCCTCTTTCGAATTTTTAATGCGGTATACTCAGTTCTTCCGATTGGAAGGTATGCTGACCACTTAATGCGATACTACTATGGTAGCCCAACGCAAAGTAAACATAAAATCACCAATATGGGACCACGTTACGTTACAACATCAGGAGTCCAGATACGACACAAGGCCGTCAGGGCCGTGAGAGACGTCCAAGGAGCGGCTTGTGGGCCAGGCGGCAACGCTAAAGATGGACCCAGATGAAGAGCGCCAAGCGGCGATCCTTCTGTTGTGCTCATACCTCTCAGAGACTCTCTGTTTCTCCATTCAACTCTGATATATTTAAACTGGTTAGATTGGTGAACAGCCTTGAATACCACAAGTCACTCATCAGAAATATACAGACCTGAAGAATTCATAAATCATCACCCCACAATGGCCTCCTCAACCTCAACCCTCCCTTCAAACGGCCGCCTCGTTAATATCGGCACTCACTCATTGGCTCTCTATACTCATGGTGCAGAGCCCAGCAGCTCTAAAGATCCTGTTATACTATTTATCTCGGGTGTGGCCAGCGATGCCCTGAACTGGCAAGCCGTGGTGCGGCTGCTGGGTCCCTCACTACGAAGCTATACTTATGACCGTTCCGGCTATAATAACTCAGAGTCTTCACCGTTGACTCCCTCGGCCGAGAACGTTGCTCTGGAGCTCTCCCTCTTGATTGAAAAGGCGCCTATCCCAAATCCTCTAATTCTTGTCGGGCACTCCTGGGCCGGTGTACTTATACACGAGTACATTGCCCTAAAGGGAACTGACCAAATCGCCGGTCTGGTCCTTGTGGACGCCAACCATGAGACAGCACCATTGGTGATGGACGTGAATGATCCAATTCTCTGGGCTGTTGCCGCGGGTGTTGACCCATACTCTGCCTGGGGTGTGGAGGCGGAGCATAAGTTAACACAGGAGGAATGGGACGCGTTCAGGGCAGTGGAAACAACCGAAAAGTTTAAGCTGATCGAGTACAAGGAGGAGATCGAGAACTATATCCCAAGTTTCGAGACACTGAGGAAGAAGGAACTGAAGCAGCCAATTGTCGGAGACAAGCCGGTTTATGTCATTGGTGGTATGCGAAGCAGGGATTGGAATGGATTGTATAAGGCAGGTGTTGCCAAAGGGAACGGGACTGAGGAACAGAGGAGCTATGTGAGAGAGTTAATCGAGACGGTTGATGCAAAGAATGAGCGTCTTATGAAGGAATTCTTGAAAATCTCGACAAAGACTGAACTTGTCTTCGCCACCGAGAGTGGACACTTTGTCCAGATGACTCAACCGGAAATTGTTGTTGATGGAGTGAAATGGGTCCTACAAAACCTACCGGCATCTTCCTAATTGAATAGACTGGCACTCTAGTGAATTAATGTGTATGTGAACTATGGTAGAAGCAAGCTATATCAGATACAGACCTATGAACACAAAGATCTCATGACGACTAGTCCTGATATAATCTAGAATTCCAAGAAACCCCTGTAACTATAAAACTCATAAGACTATAGAGATAGAGTGTACTCCGTAGTGAGCAATTAGATAGAAGTGGAGAGACTAGCAGATAAGGGCAAGTTAAACAATATAAGTCACATACAAAAACTGTGTGACTATTGAAGTAACATAATATCAACCGGCCGTTTCTAATGTCCTTCCAAGTGCATCTCAACTTCCCAACAGTCATTTGACTCCTATTCTACCTATTCTGCCTATTCTATCAAAACCTTCCCCCCCTTCCTCGCTAAATGTGTACTGAGACGGCAATCATAATTCTCTGTCATGTGATCATACTAGAATTATTTGCAATATATTCGCAGGGCCACAAATCTTCCTGCTCAGTTAGAGCGTTTGCGTCTGACGAAATAGCTAAGTTCGAACCCAAGAGTGACAAAGAGTAGCAGCCCGGTGATCGATCCATATACAATTACCATGTTGGGATCATAGGCGGCAAACGACACACCACCACCGAGCAGTGAGCCCAAGGCACTGAAGAGGTTGAAAAGAGCCTGAACGATTGACTTCATACTAGCTGGGGCTCGCGAATAAGCAAGTTGGGTACCTGCCACGATTGCGAGGATCTCTGCCCACCCAAGAAATACGTAAGTTGGCGTTTGAAATCCAACGGAAACATCATTGGGTATGTTCCCAGGAAGGCACTTCAGTGGACGGCTGAAACATGGACCAGTCGCGTATATGAGGTGTTGGATCCCTGTGGCGTATGCAATTGCAAGCGTAGCACAGAAGAGGCCCACACCGATGCGGTGCTCGGGCGAGAAGTTGATTTTCTTTTTGGCCAGCGTGGGATAAATCCAGCTTTGAAAAAAGGGCAAGAAGACCATGACAGAGATCGGATTTAAATTATACATGATATCGTTCGGGAGGCCGTTAGTCTGCATAGTGCCAGCTTGCGCTATGAGGGTACTGTCCATGAGATTGATGGAGAGCATCAGAGCTGGGAAAGGTAGGCTGATTGGCGTGAGTAGTTAATCTTCATGTGCTCATTTTATGTGAGGAATATCTTACAAGACTAAACAAGCTCGGAGGGCCGATTTTGCATCAGCTATTATGGCCGCATCGTTACTTGGACTTGCAGGGCTATCTTCCTGAACAGACGACTGTACTTCAACTTCTGTCTGATCTGGTCTGGGATGGGCTGGGTTTCGGCGGCGACGCAATGCACCGAACAAATCTGCGATGGCGTTTCCGGACGGTGGTGCCGTTTCTAGGAATTGGTCAGCCGCAGACGCACAATAATTGTCAGAGAGCAACAGATCGCTCACCAAATTTCGTGTACCCGGCTTGGAAAATTGTTGCAGATGTAACGATCAAGCAAAGGCAGATAAGAAAGGCAAACCCAAAGCCGGCGTAGGCATACCTCTCTACGTTAGTTGTTATTATGCCGCATAAACCTCCAACGTTGATCATCCTATTTGATCGTCTATCAGTAAATCCGTGACACGGCAAGCTCGAGAGAAGACATACCAGTAATTGGCGTTCCATATAAACTGAATTGTGAGTTCACGGCTCACCATCGCTGACTTCCCATTCTTCAAAGTCACGACTTTGGGTTCCTCCTCAGGGAACTGGTCAACTTTTGATAATCAGCGTCTGTGAATATGAAATCACCCAGTTCGCAATGCCTACTTAAGAATACAGTTATATTGGGTTTCACAGTTCCAGTGCCAGCACCAACGAGAAGCATGCCAACTATGAAGCCGGGGAGGCCGCCGGTGCCGTAAATTCGCTGCGTGAAAGCCGTAGCAGTGACGATACTCAATCCCAGCACGTAAATTCTGAAATATTTAGTTTCTGTCCATAGGCTGAGCCAGATCGCTGATGAACCTACAGAAATCCGACCTGGATCGTTTTGCGACGGCCAAGCCAACAGTCCGCCAAGAGTCCCCCTATGAGAGGTGTGCTGTAGCTGTACACGAACCAGATATATATGATCAACACTGCTCTTGCCTGCCCTAGTCCAAGAGCTCCTGGGCGAATAGGATCATCTGGGGAAAGCTGGAGGTAATTCTCTGTGGGAGTTTTGTTAGCCCGATGCCATACGCGGTCATACACAAGGAGACATACGGAGGGGCTGGCTGAGGCCGTAGAATGCCGCTCTCTCCAAGAAATACAGGCCTTGGACAAGCCATACCTTGTATGGGACTCGGCCTCTGACAGCTGGGAGATCTTCTTCGCTCGAGTTCACAGACTCTACGGGCGGGGAATCCGGCTCTTTTCTCTCAGACATGATTTTGAAGAAGACAGGTTTTCCGGTGCGAGTATGCTATCGAAGAACACTCAATCGGCTTGTCTGTGAGAGCGCAATGGCAAACCCAGCAGTATTGCAATGACAGGACAACAGAAACGCGAGAATGTACACACCAAAGAAATAGTCCTCTTGAGCACCATAGGAGTCCAGCCTTGGCAAATATCGACACACGCGCCCTGTGGATGATTTTTTCTACTCTTTACTGCATAGCAAGGAAATTTTCGTGCGGTACATAAAAACGGGGAAACACATATTTGACCCACTCTATCCAACGGCCAGATCTATCTGAATACAACTAATCAGACCCTTGTATCACTCAATAATTTTGGATCAAAGTAGACCCATGCAAACTAGCAGAGTGATCTATTTTGGTAAAAACACGCCAGACTCTTTTAGGGCAGAGATGACAAAGAATGAGGTGTTCAGGATACGGTAAGAAAACACAGAAAAGGAAGGTGTTTCATCAAAGCCCCGTGGAGCCTGCAGTAGCGCCATGGTGGGATGGAATCTTCTGTGTCTGCGGATGGAATCGCGCATACAGTTGCCGCGAAGGAGATTAGTGTTGCCGCCAGCCTGAAAGCTTAGCGTTGCCGCCGGAGAGCTTAGGGTTGTCCCCGGCGCTTAACCTGATTCAGCATCCATGGATGAACAGCGCGGCCGCTGCTGGGTTTCGTTTGTGATCTGCACCTTGCACCTAATCACGTTTTTGTAGGTTTAGGGCTTGTCCAAATCGTAGTCATCGTCTCCTTTCTTGGGACAAAACCACGTGATTGTCGCTTGGATCATCAAACTCGCCTGCCTGCCTGCTCGGTCACTACCGTTGTCTTGTGAGCTCAGATAATGACAAGCCTTGCTTAAACAATACAAGGCTTGTGCTAGGTCGGTGCTTTTCCGCTCGATCCAGTCTCATTCCAGGCTGCAGTGTCTGTAACCTGTGGTTGCCTCCTAGTATCATGTTGCCTTAATACCAATCATTACATAGCATTCTAGGTTATGTCAGAGTCATCTTAGCACCTGAAAGATTTTGAACCAGTCTCGTGAATTTTAATTGTTTTTCCTATCCATCTACCACGGGTAGTATTCAGCAATTTGTCTAGTTGCTCAAATAGTAATACGAATCAGGTCAAAAGTTCCAGACTCTATCTAGTAGCGGTGCATGTCTATACAGTTCAACACTATCACTACAGCTTTCGCTGACTAGCCCAAGTATGCATAAACAAAATCTCCGGCTTATCGCGACTCCTGAATTCTTCATCAACCTCATACACAAGATCCTCTTCCGCACCCTCCGCCCCAAACCCAAGCTTCTTGTACACTCTCCGCCCCATAGGTGACGCCTCAGTCGTGCACTGTAATCCCCCCCTCCGCTTCGCCTCCTCAAGGCCCCATTCCACCAGCTTTGCCGCAACACCTCTTCGCTGGAAAGCTGGGTCGACGGCACATGTATCGAGCATAAACATAGCCGGGGAGTCCGAGGTCGCTTTTTCCCGAGCGAGGGAAACCCGGCGTTTCCAGAGCGAGCGATACATCTGGCTCGCGAAGCGCCTTTCGGTTGGAGTCAGAGCCGCTAGGCCAGCAGGGCTGTCCGTCGGCGGGTCACCGTACCCGTCCACGAAGGAAGCTTGAGACCAGATGGCCGCGCCGACAATTTTGAGCTTGAACCCATCTTGGGGATCCCGCAGAGTCGCCTTCAAGATGACGGTATTAGGTTGGCCCTCTTTATTCTTCGTCGCGGATTGCCAGCGCTCAAGCAGCTTGGAGGCGCCTCCTTTCTGGCCTTCTGGGGTGTTCCATTTCGAATTCATGGCTATCCAAATCGAGTCTTTGATTTGCCGGCCAAAGGCTTCGCTTATGCAGTGGTAAATATGAGGGAAGTCATCAGGACTATCGACCGGTTGGACGAGTACATCGATCGACATTGTAGCTGAATGCGTCTTAGCCCAGAGTAAAGAACAAGGTTTGTCGCGGAATCTTGAAAAGATATGGTAGTGTGACAATATAGAATATGAGTAAGAGGGAGTCGAATAGGGGATAGAAGCGTCATTTCAACTGTCATCTCGACTGCTATTTGAATTGCTACTTGCAGCAAAGAAATTTGATAGATAGAAAGCCATAGACTCTACCTTAATCACTACCGGCAGTACAACTTTCACTGCAACTGCCTCTCAAATGCTGCTAGTCACCTGCTGCTAGCCAACTGCCGCTACTGCTACCCCTCTTGCTACTATTACGGCCCTTACAGCTACGATAGCAGCTGGCGCGCGGCATCTAGGCGGCTAGACGACAAGGGATTGCCGAGCTTACAGTGGATCGACAAGAGGTTCGCCTTGCCTAAGCCCAGAAGTGTATGGGCTACTGAATTTGACTGTCGCATTACTGTAGGATGCCCTTATTTATAGCATAGTGTCGCGGCGAATAAGGTCCCAGGGACATAGACAACGGTACAGTACCAAGGTGTCTGTTCATACAAGCCATATTACTTCTAGTTTGTTACTACATATAAGAATACGCAAATTTACACCCCTCATCATTGTTTACAGCCAGACCCTTCCGCCAACATAACAAAATCAGTCGAAATTATGGGCATTATCTCAAATATTGAACCCAACTCCCGGGAGGAGATTCAGCTTGATACCAATGGATGGGCCCCAGAGGTCGCAGTTTCTGGCAGTTTGGGGTTCCTCCTATCCATCTATCTACGGACACCAACACCCTCATTCCATGTATGCACCAGTACATCTGAGCAAATATGGGATGCCAGCATTGTAGTCGATCCAGATTACAGTGCGCATGACTTTCTCGAGAGTATTGGGAAATCTTATCAGCAGAACATAGCATCCCCAGTCATATTGCAGACCTTCTGGCTGCGCACAGACAACTTCGAGAACTGGGCAGCTTCCAATGAGGGGGCTTCTGATCCACGAAGTTGTGCTATCCCACGTCAGATCGTCTGCAAGGTCAAAGAGACACGAGCATCGCGTTCGCTGGACCTGGAGATCAGCGGAGAGAGCTCTTCCGCCAATGCAAGATTTCTCAGTCAACTGGTACACGTCACCAGACAATTGCTGGAGACCACCAGTTGCGGACGGACGCTGCGGGACCTCGACTTAATCTGTGATCTAGACCGACAAGACCTGCAGCGATGGAACCAGAAGCCTCCTTCAACTATCGCGTCCACAGTCCACGGGACGTTTAGACAGAGAGTACTTGAGAGCCCGGGGTCACATGCTGTGGAGTCTTGGGATGGCGGGCTCACATACCTGGAGCTAGATACCCTCTCCTCGCGTGTGTGCTCACTACTGCTTGAGGCAGGAGCCCGGCAAGGCGATTGCATCCCTCTCTGCTTCGAAAAGACACTCTGGACCGTTGTGGCGATGTTGGGCGTCCTGAAGAGTGGCTGTTCCTTTCTGCTCATGGATGTCTCCCACCCCACAAGTCGACTGCAGACGCTCTCTAAGGAAACCAAGGCCACCATTGTCCTCAGCTCCACTGCTCAGCAAGATAGAGCGGTCAGCCTGGCACCCCGAGCCATTGTTGTGTCCGCTTCCTCATTGTCGGCTCCTGCAGGAAACGAGCAACATGAGATTGAAGTTAGTCCCTCCGATGTAGCGGCTGTCATCTTTACATCAGGGACTACGGGCACGCCGAAAGGTATTCAGCTTGAACATAAATCGATGTGCTCCAGTCTTTCAGCTTTGGCAAAGCTATGGAGCATAAACAGGCAAACTCGATATTTCCAGTTCTCGTCTTACGCATTCGATGCCGCGTTCGGAGAGATCCTCATGACGTTGATGCATGGAGGTTGCATCTGCATTCCATCCGATGCAGATCGTTTGGAAAAGTTGGCAGAATCGATACGCAAGTTCAATGCCAATGCGGTCCTTCTCACACCTACCGTTGTGCGATTACTATCACCATCAGACGTGCCGTGTCTGACAACCCTCATTGCTGGCGGAGAGAAGGTCACGCAAGATATCGTGGGATTGTGGTCAGATAAACTAGATTTGATCATAGTCTATGGCCCTGCAGAAACTACAATAGCATGCGTCGGAGTGAAGACCCGTCCTGCGGGTGATGATGCTGTTCGGATTGGGTTTCCTATCAACAGTCGTGCTTGGGTAGCGCGCCTAGATGATCCGAATCAGCTTGCTCCCATAGGAGCTATCGGAGAACTGGTGGCGGAAGGTCCGGGGATCGCACGGGGTTATATCAATAATGAATCTGGAAATGCAGAGTTATTCCTCGACTCTCCGCCGTGGGCAAAAGAGTGGGAGTCGAGCGTGGCCTCAATGGGACGGAGTTATCGAACTGGTGACCTGGTTCGATACGCCGACGATGGCGAACTTATTTTCGTCGGTCGACGTGACCGCCAGGTTAAACTTCGTGGCCAAAGGATTGAACTTGAGGACATCGAGATTAAACTGAAACAGCACCTTCGACTCCCCGACGCAAACATATTCTTGGAAGTCCTTGATATACACGGCACTGCAAATTTGGTGGCTTTTCTTCATCACCCCAGTATCCACCACATACAAGATGTTGATGGAGACACCGCGCAAATGACTGAAGAGATGGAGCTGGAGATTGAAGGGCTTCGTGCACGCATTTCAGAAGTGCTTCCCGCCTACATGTGGCCCGTCGCATGGATCCCCCTAAAGGAAGTTCCCCTGGGACCCACAGGGAAGCTGGACCGGCGCAGCCTCCTGGGCCTGGGGAAGGATTTCTACTCCAAACTGCAAACGGGTGATGAAGAAGACAAAGGCCTGTCGCCCACCGAATCAGTCTTGGCCCGGATGTGGAGACAACTTCTTCCATCTGCTCAGAGTCTCACGCCAGACGCCAATTTCTTCCAACTCGGTGGGGACTCACTTCGATGTATGAAACTGGTGGCGGTAGCCAATCAGGAAGGTTTTCATTTGACTATGGAGAAGGTCTTCAAAAACCCAACACTATCAGGCATGGCCACCACGATGCAGGAAGTTCCAGCTGCTGATGAGTCTCACCCAAGTGTTGCCCCAGCCTCACATTCACTTACACAGGAAGATCCTTCTGAGTACCGATCCTTGTTGAAAGAATACGGCCTTGATCAAAAGGATATCGCGGGTATCTTCCCTTGCACAGCTCTCCAAGCAGGGTTGTTTTCGCTTTCGCTAGCGCTACCCTCCTTATATTCGAGCCAGTTTGTATTCGATTCCTTGGCTGATGTGGACATCCAAAAGTTCAAGACAGCATGGGAGAGTGCAACCTCTGCCTACCCAATCCTGAGGACAGCAATTGTACCATCTTCTTCCAGCCTCGTGCAAGTGGTCCTAAAATATCACGCGAATTGGACTGAGGTCACGCAAGATCTTGCATCATTCTTGGCTGCAGACAAAGAGGTTTCTTTTCAGCCTGGTCAGCCTCTCAGCAGGCTTTACCACGTCCAGGACCCATCATCCGGTCAGACTCGCTTTGTTTGGACGCTTCACCACGCAATATTCGATGGTTGGAGCTTGGAGACAGTGGTCGATCATATTCGCCATAATTATTACTCCCACACAGAGCCTGTAAAGGCAACAGGAAGCTTCCAAGAATTTGTGCAGTTCTGCGAGGGCCTGGACCAATTGGAATGTACTTCATTCTGGAGAGAGCAGCTCAAGAATGCACCAACCCCATCATTTCCCAATTTCCCGAAGGCCGGGCATCTGGCAGCAGACAGATCTTGTTTGCAGCACACCATGGCAGCCCCAACAGGAGCCACCACAACTACTACGGTTCTGGCCAGAGCATCGTGGGCTCTACTTCTTTCCGAGTACGAGGGCTCGGACGACGTCACATTCGGGAATTCCCTTCATGGACGCAATTCCCTGCCTCCCAAGCTGCAGGAAGTTGTTGGGCCCACCATCACAACTTTGCCGATTAGGGTGAGAATTGACCTCACTCAAACTGTTCTCGGCTTCTTAGATGGCCTGCAAGAGCAGCTCTCGGCCATGATTCCTTATGAACAATTTGGCCTCTCCCGGATCCTGGGCATAAGTCAAGATGTTCAAAACGCCGCCTCGTTCCGTACCCTCTTGATTGTCCAAGTCGCGGATACCAAATCCTTGGAGGAACAAGGTATCAGGCTGAACGAAGTCGAGAGATCTATACATGAATACCCATTGGTACTTACTCTTATGCCTGGGAACTCTCAGATTGAAATAGTCGCGACGTTCGATAGCGATGTCATCTCGCCGCCGCAAGTCCAAAGAATTGTTGAACAATTCGAGCAGACATTCCATGAACTCAGCACAGTGTCTAGAGGCACCAAAGTTGGCGAACTGGATCTGGTAAGCAAGGCAGACAAGTCAACCATGTTTGGGTGGAACGCTAGGCATCATATGGCTTACGAGGTTTGCGTTCATGAGTTGATCCGAGAGCGAGTAAGACACTCCCGAACTTCGCCGGCAATCTATTCTAGAGACGGCACCATGGATTACGCGACCTTGGATAAGCTGTCTGACGGCTTAGCGGGAGAGATGGTGCGATACGGTGTGAAATCAGGCAACACTGTGGGTGTTCTTTTCGAGAAGTCTCAATGGGCGATAGTGAGTATTCTTGCCGTCATCAAAGCAGGCGCCGCCTTCGCGCCACTGTCACCGGCGTATCCGCGGGCACGTCTTGAAGGCATTGCCAGCGATGCCGGTATCAAAGTCGTTCTCTGCTCTCCACTACAAGAGGAAGCCTTTCCCGGTCCAGCTTGGCGGACTATTGTTGTTTCTGACGACACGGCTTATACTTTCACACCCGCTGCGCAGGTCGATAGCAAGGTTGCGACCCCGGACAGCCTGCTTTACATCCTTTCAACATCAGGGACTACGGGGACCCCCAAAATCTTTGGAGTACAACACAAGAGCTTTGCCACTGGTGCTATAGCTCGTGCGCCTTTGCTCAGACGTGGGCCTGACTCTCGCGTGTTGCAATTCGCACCATACGCCTTCGACCCGAGTGTCGAGGATATATTGACCACCCTCATGTTCGGCGGCTGTATTTGTGTACCATCAGATGAGGATATCATGGGTGATATCAGTGCGTTTATGAAAACCGCACGAGTCAACTTTGCCAACATCACTCCCTCGGTGGCCTATACATTGAAGCAGGATGAATTACCGGATTTCAAGATACTGCTGCTATCCGGAGAAGCTCCTGACCAAGCTCTAGTGGACAAATGGGACGGCATCGTACAAGTCATGAATGGATACGGGCCGAGCGAGTGTTCCGTCAAGTGCGCTATCAACTGCAACCTATCACGTAATGACCCTAGGAACATTGGCCACAGTGCCGGAACCAGCCTATGGGTTGTGAGGCCCGGGAACCACGACCGCCTTACTCCTCTTGGGGCAGTGGGGGAACTTGTCATCGAGAGTCCACACCTTGCAACCGGTTATATGAACCGCCCCAAAGCTAATGGGGAGAAGTTTATTCTCAGTCCACCGTGGTTGCGAGACTTCCGAGACGGCCACATCACGCGCATGTACAAGACGGGCGATCTGGTCAGGTACATGGAAGACGGCAGCATCTTGTACATCGGGCGTGGGGATATGCAACTGAAACTACATGGTCAGCGGCTGGAGGGAGAGGAGGTGCGGCAACGCATTCAGGAATCCCTCTTCGACGCGCAGCTTCAAGTGATTGTCGATATCGCAAGATTTGCGGGTCAGGATTCCGACGTTCTCGTCGCTTACCTGGCTCAGAAAGGAGAGCACCGGGGAGGTGAAATGGACATCGATCACGTCCTACAACGGCACCTGGCGGATATGAAGGAACACATAATTCGCCAAATCAGCACTGCTCTACCAAAATACATGATACCCTCCGTATTTCTGGCTGTGACGAATATCCCTGTCACAGCGAATGGTAAGGCGGACCGCCGCGCACTCAAGGCTTACATTGCGCGACAGCGTCTTGGACCTCACCTACTTCTTTCTGGAGAAAGTACAGTACAGCCACCTGCTTCGGAAACAGAGAAGCTGCTACATAGTTTGTGGAAAATGCTTCTTGGATTGAACGGCGAGCAATTCGGAGCCAATTCCAACTTCTTCGAGCTTGGTGGCAGTTCTTTGGCGGCAATCAAGCTGGCGTCTGCGGCACGAGATCTCGGGCACAATCTCTCAGCACAGATAATATTCAAAAATCCTGTCTTGTCCGCCATGGCTGCTCACATGGTACCTCTGGATGAGACAAGGACATCGGGCCCATCCAGGTTCGGCCTACTAGGTAAAATTGATCGCAGTGTCCACCAACTGTGGAAAAGCCTTGCGGCTCACAACATCGAAGAACAAGCTATTGAAGATGCATATCCTCTCACGAGACAACAGCAACGTTACATGGAAGGGGAGATGATCTCGCCAGGAGGTACTACTCACCGGCACATCATGCAACTACCGTCCAACATAGACTTAGTCAGACTTGAGACTGCTTTGCGGCGTGTTGTGCAGGCGAACGCACTTTTGCGGACTCGAATCATCTCGGTATCATCGAAATTCGTCCAGGTTGTGCTGAAAGAAGACTTTACTTGTCGCCACGCTGAGGCCCTCTCGTCTCTTGTCTCTGAAGATCGAAAGGTATCGTGGAGTCTTGGACAACCGTTATCACGATTCAGCATAGTGCATGGTAAACACTGTCAGGATCAATGGCTCGTCTGGTCAAGCGCCCACGTTATATTCGATGGCTGGTGTCGAAAGTTGCTGTTGGAAGAGATCGACTATGCGTATCACCACAATGATAACCCGCCGGAACGGCCGCAGTACAACCGGTTTATCGAGTACGTCTACGAACTGGAAAAGGACGAAGCAGGTTCCGCGCTTGCGAGGGAACTCGAGGACACAAGGTTCTGTAGTTACTTCACCTTGGACGGCACAAAGGCCCCAGGTATCACTCACACTTTGTCCCTCGGCATCGCCTTCCCGGCAACTCTCCCAGCTGAACTCTCCTACCCAACCGTGATGCTCACAGCTTGGGTAATCACTGCAGCGCACATCGAAGAGCATGACAATTTTCTGTTCAACATTCTGTTGGGTGGAAGAGATGCCGAGTTTACGGGAATAGACCGGCTCATGGGCCCTGTAAGCACCACAGCCCCTTTGGCCACCAGCATCGACCGTGATTCGACTTTCCGGAAGAACGTGGAAGTTGTACAGAAACGAATAGACGAAGCTGGAAGTGTGCAGCACTTGGTCCGACTCGGCGATAAACTGCATCGGTTGCTGGCGTCTGCCCCCGTTGTCGTTGTCCATCCTGCCGAAGATTATGAAGAAGCAGCAACCAAACACCTCGGAATATTCAGAAGCCGCGTTGAAACAGTCCAGCGGTTGGTAGACGCCATGTTCATGAACTTTTGCCTCCGGCCTGGCAATGTCGGGGTAGATCTTATCATGACGATTGACTCTAGCTTTTTCCCGGAGGATAAGGCGGTTCGGTATCTCGGCTATCTGGAACAAGTCTTCATGCGTGTCTTTACTCCAGGGGGTCTGGATCTGACTATTGGAGAAATAAACTTGGGTTCTAGTACACCTACGAGTTCTGTGTTGATAAACACTGAGATAGCTTGATGCGGGGCCCGAGGTGATCCGAAGCATGGTTTAAAAAGGACGAAGAGCGGGACTGCTATAGTGAAGTACAAGGTGGACGTATCGATTGGTGGTTTGTTGAAGGTTTTGTACTGTAGATAATAGCTAAGGAGCGCTGTAACCCAGCAACTGTCACATAAATCATCGAGCTTTGAATCGACTTTGAAAAGTCAAATATCTCCACCTCCTCGTTATGCTTTCACCAGATACCTCAATAGATGCGGACCGGCAACCTCAAAGACATGGATTATGAGAAGATCGTAACGAATTGAGACAATACGATCGTAGGGTAAGACATATGATGAGAGCATTTACTATGTTATGTTCATACACACAGCTTATCATCAGGCCGAAAAAGGCATTTGTCCGTGTGACGGTGAATGGAGTTTCCTTCGGTTATTAATCAACCCATCTTGCCAAGAATAATCGTGTGAGTCATGCAGAACGCAAGATTCCAGATCTTGTTCCGATAAAGTCACTTGGGAAAGCATCATGCACAGCTGGGAGATACATCCTCATTTGTGGGCAAAGGGGCAAGTGGACGATTCGACAAAAGCCTTCAGAGATAGACTGTCCTCAAGGCTGTCAGACAATGACCACGAAATCCAGGGATACGGCAGCAGTCGTACAGTCAACACCATTAACACGAACTATCCCGGGTCAAAGTAAAGACCGTATCAGACACAAACTGAATCTAGGCCAAGCTTTTTGGTTTCACCAGCTAAAAAGGTTTGACCTTGTTTTTATCGCCTTCGTGACCTTCCAGAAGGCCAAGCTTGAACCTTCGGTAAAAGAACCAATTCTGCAGAACAATTGGTCAAGATTTAAGATCCAGTTTCAATCATCACCAGAATTGGACTTACAAATAGCCGCAGTGGTAAAATTGTAACAAGTAATCGAAGAGTGCGCGCGAGAGCGCCTTCCCATATTTCGGCACTGACCCGTGGCTTCACCAGCTTCGCGACCACAGATCTCGCATAAGCATCTGCCGGCATGCCATTCGCGTTGCCTTCGTACTTGATATCCTCGATGGTCTTCTTGAGTGGGAGATAGAGGGATGTCTCCGGAGCATACATTCCATGGTGTAGAATATTACTCTGCACGAAGCCGGTGACAAGCTCAATGACCTCTATTCCAAATGGCTTGACCTCCTACAATGCAGGTCAATTACAGGAATATGGGATGGGACGAAGTGACGATGAGGCATGGGAGCAGGGGCGAGCCAGGCTTACCAAGCGGAGCGTGTTGGAATACTGACTGAGGGCCGCCTTGGAGGCATTATAAGGCGCCTGCCAGACCATAGGCACGTTCCTTGTCACGCTTCCAAGCTGCACAATACGTCCGCGAGGTGAGTTACGAAGGAGCGGGATGAAAATCTGGCAAAGTCGCATGACAGCAAAGACGTTGACTTGAAACAGTTTCTCGACCTGTTCAATCTCAAGGTCCATTGCGGTGGATGCGTAATGCGTTCCTGCATTGTTGACCAGGAAATCTAACCGGCCACCAGTGCGCTCGGATACCGCATCCTTCAGCTTGGCAATACTCTCTGAACTGCTGAGCTCCAGCTCAAAAGCTTCGATATTCTCGTGCTCGCGTGTTAGCTCCTTGAGATATTCGACACGTCGGGCGGTTGCAAGAACGGTAACTCCTTGTTCTGCGAACGCTACTGCGAGCGCTTTTCCAATGCCACTGCTACAGCCGGTTATGAGGGCGAAAGAAGATGTTTGCGTCATCAGTGCGATCAAATCACAAACAGGCTGTTGAGTAATATAGGGCAATGTTGTAAGGGCCGTTGTTGATCTGGAGTGTTGAAATGAGCAGGTGGTCAATGTTGTGCCGATCACAGAAAAAGTGAGAGATCACATGACTAGTATGATTGTTGAGGGGGCCAGGGACCACATTGCGATTGGCTGTGGAATGTCATATTATAGTGTGGTATGGGCTATAGCGTGGTATAGTGTGGTCCACAGCAATCAACGTCGGCTTTCAAGCGAGTGAGACGCCGCCCGTATTTGGGATTACGTTAGTTGGTTAGCTGTTGGGGGGCCGACTGACTAAGACCGCGTCTTCTGCACTGCCTCTCCTATATTATATAGAAGATATACCCATGAGGTTCTAACCCCACCCTTCGATTACAGGAACAACAAAGGATCGGCAAGCTTTATATGGAAGCTCCGGGCTGAGCGGCTTCTTCCGGCCCGAACGGGCAATTCCGAGCCGAACTTAACGAGAGACCCTTATTGGTTATATAGGTTGATTGTTATTATTATAATCTAGCTTTTGACAAACAGATCCCAATGTGGCGGGGTAGTATTAAAATGCTCATGTACTTAGTAGTAAAACTGAACTTGGTACTATTTTAAAGTCGGCGGTACATGAACACAGGCGGCTTATTAACATGAAGTTGGGGCTAGTTTTACAGAGGCTTTGCTTGCGCCAGCTGTCTTTTAAATTGAGCAAGACATACATCGTCTATGCTGGGTGTTGGTAAGCTCGACAAGGAGGTTGTGAAGCTAGTCATGTCGCTCACGGCCCCAAGTGTGAAGCGCCTTCCCTGTGTGGGCGCTTCTTATGTTTTCTTCTTCAGTCTTTGACCAATGGACGAAAGACCTGACTGATGAGATCCCCTGCCTCGCAATCGAGCCGAACCACTAGTGCTTACATACATGCACGAGAAAGGGAATAAGGTACCGCCAAACCCGGCAATGGCATGTTCCATGAGTGCGTGATCAAGGCATTTTGGTGCCTGATGGTGGCAGGCAGCGAGTTGTGATATCATACTGTAAGCCCTGTATACCTCAGTTCCCTGCTCGACGCGTGCTGTAAGCTCCCTAAGAGGGAAAGGGAAAGGAAAGCCTGCGTGAAGTATAAGCTGGGTAGCACTACGGTAGAAGCTCCTGAGAGCAGATCAACGTCTCTTTAATGTATAAATACTCTTCGTGGTCTCGTTGGGGACTCATCCCGGACACAATAAGATTCTCCTTTTCGTCTCACTAGCAATATGACACTCTCGGCTGAACAGCGTCAAGCTCTCCTTGATGGTCCGGCTGCCCCTCCCCCTTCGGGAGTCGTTCCTAACCTCGCTGATCCCCCAAATCTGCAAGCCGTCGGGCGGGGTCTGATCCTCGTCTTCTGGAGCCTGGCGTTGATCACTTTTGCTATCCGCATCTACACGAAAGCTTTTATTATTAGATCATTTAGAGTATCTGACTGTAAGTAATACCCGTTCCACATAGATCGACCGGGCTGCTAACATACTGCATAAGACGCCATGATTGTAGCTTGGGTATAGTTACATGATGCCTGCCTCCACTACCGCGCCTTATCTGACATGGCTAGGCACTATCTATAGGCTACTTCCCAATCGCATGGAAAGTTGGGAATATTGCCCCAGGTATAGACCAATGGAACCTGCAGGTGAAGAACTTGATCGAATTATTACATGTAAGGGTCGATTGAGGCAAATACACAAGTCGCTACAGTATATTCCTGACCAATGTAAAAATAGTGGTTCCATACCGGTCTCATTATGTATTCGATCATGATCTGCTTTATCAAGATCTCGATCCTCCGTCAATTCCTCGAGATCTTCAGCCTAGAGCGAGACTATTTCTTCTGGACTTGCCACTTTCTTATCTGCATCAATATTCTCTACTATACCATCTTCACATTTACGACCATCTTCGCGTGCAATCCTATCTCGAAATACTGGGACGTATTAAGAACAGATGGCAAATGCCTCAATACAGAGCTACAGATGTTTGTGGCAGGAATTATCAATACTATATCGGATCTGACAATCTTGATTCTACCTCATTTGAAGGTCTGGGGGCTCCAGATGTCGTCGCGGAAGAAGCGTGCTGTTTCTGTGGCGTTTCTGTTTGGCTTAATGTATGTTCTTCCATCCAGTCATCACTCATGTCTTGGGGGTGCCTCCGAGCAACATTCTAATTAATTGTGCTTATATCCAGCGCCTGTGTCGGATCATCGCTCAAGATCTACTACGCAGTAAGACTCCTTAATACCGAGAACAACAAATCCTACCAGATCTACCTCCTTGGCGTCTGCACACTTCCCGAAATTGGAGGCGGCATAATTGCTGGCTGTCTGCCGTCGTCGCCCAAATTCTTCAAACACATACTGCAAACGCCTCTTTTCTCGAGTTACAAAGCCTATTTCAGCAAACTGATCTCGGCGTCCTCTCGGTGGTCTTCGTCATCAACCGTCGCTCGATCGCCCGGAAATTCCGCTGCCGTGGATCTCAAAACTACGAAGAAGAGTCAATTCGATGACCAGTATCCACTGACTTCGGTTGTGAGTTGCCCAGGCAGTGAAACTGTCGATGTCTCTGTTACGACGACACACTCGACGCAAGAGTGTACAATGGTGTCCAGTCACGGTAAAAGAACCTGAGGTCACAGGAGTTGTGGGATGAAAGTGATACGTTTTGAAGCTGTATATACTTAATTGAGGTGCATATTCTTATCGCCAATATCTAGCCTGTTGCAACGCATCTAAAATATAGTCTAAGTGAGTAGCCAGGGATAGTATAGGTGAAGCATTCGACATAGTACTTTTATAGCTACTAGGAGCAGTCAAATAGTCAATTCCAGGAACATCCGTGTCTCAGTGTTGGTCCATGCCCTTGAATATGTAAGGAACAAATATAGAGAGAGAGCTTTTAAGATCGCTCATACTTCCAACTTGCAAAGCGGCGTTAATCATACTTCGACTAAACCATGATTACTGAACTTATTAATGGATAGTCGCCGAACCGGGGGGATTATTTGCCGATAGGGACGGTAACTCGTGGGTCTCTCCACTCGATAAGATAAATTAGCGCTCGGTTTTGTTTTCCTCCAACTGTCTCATTGGCTGTCTTGGGTATTCTGCACAATTCCCACCCCGTCGATTGTGTGGTGATTCAGGGACTCGTTGACTATTCGTCCACGTAAGTACCTTTTGATCTAGGAACCGTATTCTGGAGCGAATCTTGACCCCCACACATATTAGGGGAATTTTAAGGAAGTAGTTAGAAACAATAAATGTTAAAAATTAAAGTATTTGAGCGAGTCAAGTCCGTACCTTCTAGGGGATATGATGTCATTCATCATCAGCTGCCCCACTATACCCTATATAAGGTCGACCTGGACCCTCACTTTGAGGGTTTACGAACCAGCGCAGAAAAAACACACAGTCCACACATCTTGACAAAATGGCTCCCAAGGTTCTCGTTGTCCTTACCTCCCAGGCCCAGATTCCTGGCCGCGACCACGCTACCGGATGGTTTCTGGTATGTACTTTTACCCCGCCATGTTCGCCTGTCTATCGAGCAGATCTAATGGGAAGTCTAGCCCGAGTTTGCCCACCCGTGGGAGGTCCTCCATGAGAAGGTCGAGCTCACCATCGCCTCCCCTAAGGGTGGTGAGGCTCCCCTCGACCCCTCCTCGATCAAGATGTTCGAGAGCGACCCCGTATCGACGAAATTCCTGAATGAGCAGCAGTCGCTTTGGAAGAACACTCACAAGCTGGCTGATTTCCTCCCGCGCGTTTCGGAGTTCGATGCTATTTTCTATGTCGGTGGCCATGGACGTAAGGAACACTTATTTTTTCCCTTTGATGGAGGGGATTGGAACTGACCGCTATAGCTATGTTTGACCTCCACTACGACGAGACCTCCCTCTCCCTTATCCAGGCTTTCGCTGCCGCCGGAAAGCCCGTCTCCGCAGTCTGCCACGGCCCGACCGTGTTTATCAAGGCGACCACCAAGTCTGGACAGCCCTTGCTCGCCAACTCCACCGTTACCGCCTTCACCAACGTCGAGGAAGACCAGGCACAACTGACCGCGCTCATGCCATACCTGGTCGAGGATGAGATGAACAAGATCCCCGGATGTAAATTTGTTAAGGCCGATCAGCCGTGGGGCGAGAAGGTTGTCGTCTCGAAGACCTCCGACGGCACTACTCTGATCACCGGTCAGAACCCGGCCAGCGCGACGGGCGTTGGCAAGGAGATCCTCAAGGCTCTGGGACTTTAAGTTTACTACTATATGCTTATAATTCATGAAATGTATGATTGTTATGAGAAATAAATGATCATCTCCTTCATCTCATTTCAATTGGTTTCATTTGTTTTTCTTCCGTCGGATTCCGACGGTTCAATGTATATCTAACACGCAAACCACACTGACAGCGATGATCCCCCCAATTTCTATGGGTCCGTGGGCGAATCAACCTTACACAATACCGAGCGTGGTCCTCAAACACCGGAGGTACAAAGGACGGGGTGACTGATAAGCACCCCGCCCCAATATCCTGAAGACCTCCCATTTGGGGAATCGACAGGGACGGTTCAGGTACTAAATTAGCCAAGAGACTAGTAGCGGCCAAAGGCGTTGCAGCATTGCAGAATGTGTGCTGCTTTATTGCATCCGCTCATGTACGCCAAGAACCCGTTCGGACACATGTGGTTTTCACTGGCTCAAGCACGTTACCCCCGGCAGATGAAGAGATATGCAAGGGATGAAGCTGATCGCCCGGCAGTAGGATATTTAAAAAAGGTCGCCAGCACAATATGCTGTGAGAACAGTGCATTGCATTCATAACCTTTCTTCTTTGGTCGGTTCGTCATGGTCCAGTTCACTGTCCTGGCCCTCTTGGCCCTTCCCTTCGTGAATGCTATCCCTGCCCCGGCTCCTGTCCCAACTCCACCGGGCATTCCGGCGACCACGACTGCGGAAAATGAGTTGGCTGAATTAACAGTCGCTGCTCAGGGCTCGCAGGATGGCTATGACCGGGATTTATTCCCCCACTGGATCAGCCAGGGCCAGTATGTATTGTCATCCCTCTTGGTCAGAGGATTTAATGTGCTAAAACACTTTACAAAGCTCATGCGATACTCGTGAAGTCGTTCTTGCGCGCGATGGTGAGGATGTCGAAAAGAATGATTCTTGCTCTCCCACTAGTGGAACATGGTACTCGCCGTATGATGGGAAGACCTGGACAGATAAAAGCGATCTAGACATCGACCATGTTGTACCGCTTTCCAATGCCTGGAAGGTAAGTCTACCATCATCCATCATACTTACAAGAATAGACTCCGATCTAATGCTTAATGAAAAATCAGAGCGGAGCGTCGGACTGGACCACCGACCAACGCCAGGCTTTCGCCAATGATTTGGAGAACCCTCAACTACTTGCGGTGACGAACTCGGTCAACCGCGAGAAGAGCGATGATGGGCCGGAGGACTGGAAACCTCCTCTGAGTAAGTTCATGCCCAATATTATCTGGTCGCGCGCTAACGGTGTAGCTTCGTATTATTGTACCTACGCAAAGATGTGGGTTCGAGTCAAGTCGGTGTATAACTTGACTATTACACAGGATGAGAAGGGTGCTCTGGTTGATATGCTTGACTCATGTTAATGATGATATTGTACATAGCTTATAATATCACGAGTCGTCAGTCCATGCTAGTATAGATATGACGATATAGTATGAATAATTATTGGTAGGAGTTCAATCATACGATATCTTATTTGCAAGCCTGTGGTTATCGTGTGGGGCCGATAATATTTATACTACCTTCAAATTTGCCCCAAAGCTCAAGATACTGCTATAGTTACTAGTATGTCCATTCGTGGATACTGACGCCACTAGATTAATGTTTGACAATACGAATTAGGGCAGTCTACGATCACATTAAGTTCCTCCGGTCGCGACTTTTCAATAAGCGAAACTGTAAGTCAACGCGTTAAGGAAAGAAAAAGTAATATACGATACAAAAGTCCCTATATACAGCAAATGTATTTCTAATTCGGTCGGATAAAAGCAATTGTACGACCTGCTAAGTCTCATAAACAAACATGATTTCGGGTACACGTAACTTCCTTAACATCACTATAGCAATCAATAGTATCTAGGAGGCCCAGATTGCCCAGCATTGTACGGTCCAGCGTGGTGCTGTGGCCCAGTATTATATGGTGGTTGGGCATTGGGCTGTGAACCAGGATTATCCTGTGGTCCCGCATTGTACGGTCCGGCATTGTATTGCGGTTGAGCATTGTACGGCGGTCCAGCGTTGTGCTGTGTTTCAGCATTGTACGGTGGCCCAGGATTATATGGTGGTCCAGCATTTGGCCCGGCATTGTACGGTGGCCCAGCATTGTACGGTGGTTGAGCATTCGATTGCGGTCCAGTATTGTACTGTGGTCCGGTGTTATGTTGTGGGTCAACAGTATACTGTGGGCCAGCATTGGGTTGTGGTGGAGAATTGTACGGTAGTTGAGCATTCGATTGTGGTCCAGCATTGTATGGTCCAGCGTTGTGCTGTGGATCAGCAGAATACTGTGGTCCAGCACCAGGCTGTGGCGGATAATTGTACGGTGGGCTAGCATTGTATGGTGGCCCAGGATTGTAGGGCTGTCCAACGTTGTGCTGTGGTCCAGTATTGGACTGAAACTCAGGATTGTACGGCGGTCCAGCATTGTACGGTCCAGCGTTATGCTGTGGTTCAGCATTGGACTGCGGTCCATGATTTGGAGGCGGCTGGGCTTGAGCCATCTGAGAGGAAGTCAGGTCCCCAGTGCTGGACGTTGGCTTATCAATGAAGTTTTGGCAATTGGAATCAATATGATCGTTGATTTTCAGAGATGGTACAGAGTTTCCGCATATCGGACAAGACACCATAGCGTTTGGATCATCGAGGGAGATATTGGACTGTGGCCCATGGTTGTCTTGCGGTCCAGTATTGTATTGCGGCCCATGATTTGGAGACTCCTGGACATGAGCCATCTGAGAGGAATTCAGGGCCCCGGTGCTAGATGTTGGCTCATCAATAAAGTTTTGGCAATTGGAATCAATATGATCGTTGATTTTTAGAGATGCTACCGACTTTCCGCATATCGGACAAGATACTATAGCACTAGGATCATCGAGGGAGACCCCGGACCGTAGCCCAGGGTTGTTTTGTAGTTCAGCATTGTATGGTGGTCCAGCGTTGTGTTGGGGTTCAACATTGTACGGTGGTTGAGCACTGTACTGTAGGCCAGTATTGTATTGCGGCCCATGATCTGGAGGCGGCTGGACTTGAGCCATCTGAGTGCCCGCAAGATCTTCATATTGGAGATCGCTGGGACTTGGTCCCGTCGCCATGTTAACTCCCGAGGGTGTCTGCTCGAACTGTACATCGCCTTGCGCCGCTCGAATCGTGTGCGTCAGCATTTTCACCGAGGGATTGTCGGTCCGGACGTGGCCATTCAGGATCTCCTTGGCGGCAATCTTTCGACCGTAAAATCGTTCGTTCTCATCTATACGCTCGATGACAACAGTCCCATCAATCTGCACACCCGCATAGAATCCTCGACTCTTAACGTAGGTCCAGATCGGGGCTCGCCGTTTATGAACTTCCGACTCTACCACACCACCAAGTCCCACCGGTCCAGCAGCGACACTGATCTCGCTTCCGAGAGTAACGCGAACCTTTGTAAATGCGTCCAACGCCTCATACGTATTGATCACCATCACACAATCGTAGATATCTGCACCGACAAGAAATCCCAAGCCGGCTGTATGCAGCAGGATACCCGACGGCGCACTCCATTCGCCGGTTTCAGGCACTCTACTAACAAGAACACCACTGCCGCCCGCACCACTGAACCATAGCCCCGTTCTCATAGCCGTAAAGATCGCCAGTCCCTTCGCCTGTCGGATAACTTCGGACGGGATCTTCTGCAACACTTTCGGCTTTCCTCGCGGCTTATCGATCGGTTGTTTTGCCCCTTTCGTTTCAGGCGCAGGTGTGCTTTCTTTGGATTCTTCGGCATACACGCCATCTTTGCAGAAGCTCTGAAGAATGCGGGCCACCTTCTCGCTTTCTTTGTCTATTGTCATGGGCCAGAAAGCCTCTGAACCGAGTTTATTAGTCAGGCGGTTAACGGGGGGCCCGAGTTTGTCCAGTGCATCCCAGGCTTTGTCGAAGTTTTTCTTGCCAATGACTTTCGTTTTGTTCCATAATGAGTTTTGCTTGTTTGGGGCTTGAGACATGGTGGAGGTGCGATGATCGTGTACCTTGTCTATGGTTCTAGGACTTTTTCTGGGGTCGAAGGGTAGTGAACTGGGTTATTTAAATGTTGTCAAAAATATTATTCGGAAAAGGGAAGTGCCAGGGTGATAATGTTGAGTTTTATCCCTGTCAGGCGCGAAATGAAAAGTCTAGGCAACACAGTGAATTCAAGAAACGACGACATCCGAGCGGGGCATAAATAATGTTTGATTCTCTCAACTGCTGCTAAGCATTCCACATGGCGTAGTGATTGGTGTTCATGTCTCCACTTTCCACGGGATTCGCGGCCGTTCCACTTTTCCAATGGCGGGAATTTTTCGTATTTTGTGCTATTAAAAGCGTTTTCATTGTTTCGTGAGACACCGGTGGCTTTCTAGTACAATGAAACTTATGCATGCAGGGTGCCTACGCCCAGATTTAGTAGCTCCCCAGCGCTTAATGATGAAGTGCATCCTGAACTGGGAGCAGCCTAAGTGTGTACTACTAATATGAAAGTCCTACCACCCAAGCGCCGAATAGTCGATCATGATGCGGGGAAACCCCATCTTTTCTATCGATGCGAAGTTGTTGGCAAAGGAAGTTTCCGATGCAGTCGGGACACGATCTCGGGGTAATCGTCCTCGTCTTCGGCCGTGATGATACCATGTCGAACAAAGAAATCCACGAGAACACTAGCACTAGCCGGTTTGAATTTACCATTCAACATAGCCTCCTTCACTTCATTCGTGTCCATCAGATGGAAGGCGTATACATCATCATCGACCACTTTGAAAACCACATCTGAGTCGACTTCAAGATCATAAACATAGAGTACCCCCGGGTTGATGAGTCCTGGGTGACCACCAGATCGCTCATCGCTGATAGTGACCCAGTTCACGGTACCTGCGGCCCGTACATTCTTCCTGATCAGGTCTTCGGGCATCGCAGCCTCCTCCGATGCCTCGCGAATCAAACACTCTAATGGCTGCTCTCCGATGGCCATACCACCAGCCACGGTATTATCCAGCAAGCCTCCGTACGCCTTGTTAAATTGTCGCTGCGGAATCCAAAACTTCAACCCAGACTCTGTCCGAGTGTACACAGTCATATGTACCCCACGACCTATCATACCAAGGTACGAGAAAAAACTCCGATCAACTCCCACCGGAAACTGGGCACCAACAATTGGGAACTGTTCGTGTCTCTTTTTCCCGAATTTAGGAAACACTCCTTTCTCACGCGCAAGTTCAGCTTGTCGCTCAATGATTTCGGCGCATTTCTCTTGCCAGTTAACGCCGTCGGGCCGAATAAGGTGCACTTCTTTCTTAGGGGCAGGGATCACCCGGAAGTTTGCTGTCCATGGCATCTTCTCTACCACACTATCAATCAAGAGACCGTGTGGTCTGGGATCCTCCGGGAGGTAGAATTTCCATAGTGAGCTTTGTACTTGCTCGTGTGCTGAATCTAGATCTTCCGCGTAGGGAAAGCTAGGCGGTGTTTAGTTGGGTTATGTGAGGTTGTTCGAAGAGCGCTTACTTGTCGCAATCCTTTACAACTTCTAATAAGGTCTTCATTGCGGCTGATGAATAAGTGCTGTGTTTCGATTCCGGGTCATCGGGCGCAATTATTCGCATCCATGCATGCGGGGCGCGAAACTATTTGGGAAAAACTATTTTTCCACGCCGAGGTAGTTCTCATCTCATGGTGTGTTCATCATAAATTCATGGCAGCATTGTTTGGTGGCTTCTTTGATGTCCAGTTGATGTGTGCAGGCTCTCGAATCAATGAAATAATGAGACCAAATGTTAAATAGTAAAGAGTCTCTGGTGGTGTTGCTGACCTGGCGGCAGATGAATCCCTGGCATTGGCCTCGAAGGGAATAAAACAAAAGCAATCGGTCAACCAGGCGTTATAACCATTTGCAGACGGTTATAGTACAGCATTGAAGCTCATATGATAGGTATGACCAGTTGTTATACCGAAATCCAAACACGCAGCTTTGTGAGATTGAAACCCTCCGGGAGTGTATGTAGAAGGGCTGCCCTCGCTGTGAATGACAAAATATATACTCCGCAGGAGCGAAAAGTCTATGACGCAATCCACCACTGAATACAGAAAAGACATGCATCTACTTCAGGAATTGACTGCCGATGGCTTTCTTGCCACATTAAAGGATAGAATATACTACTCTACTTATCGATTTATCTGCAGTTGTGGTAGGGCGTGTATGGGGATGAACAACCAATGCAGACGTCCATTTTAGTAACTTCTTGACTTAACTTTGCTTTATGTAGCCATAAAAGGAAGGGGTCTTCAACAAGTAGCCGGGCTAGCTCAATCGGTAGAGCGTGAGACTCTTAGTCATCACGGTATCTCAAGGTTGCGGGTTCGACCCCCGCGTTCGGCTTCTCTTTTTGTTTTGCTTTTTTAGCTCTTTTGCTTTCTTACGCAATGTCTCTCCCCAACGCACCTGTAAAGGTCGCGTCAGTCACATGCATTTGGAGGTAGGCAGGTGATGATGCATGGTAAATTTCCGTCTTCCCTATTCCATTCTCCCCGTATCCTCTTATTTACTGTTCCTGGGCCAAGCACCCGAGGATCTTAGGTTTACTTTCAACTGTCCCATGACTTATGAAGTGAATAGTTGTGGTTTCTAGAACTTATGTAGCCACTGACATATCAGACTTAGTTAGATATGATATCTGCCGCTTTCTCTGCAATTGCATATACAACCGTCTGATAGTGTGCTGTGATCGGCAGAGGTATGATGCTAGCATCTACAACCCTGAGATTTTCAATACCTTTCACACGAAGCTCAGTATCTACTACCTTTCCCATTGACGCCGAGCCAGCTGGATGGTAGAATGTATTCCCTCCCTGCTTCACCTGGGCGTCGATTTCCTCGTCTGTAGAATCGGACCCCAGTGCATTAAATCCAGGATGTGGAGCCTCACATTCGATCATCTCTCTACCCTCAGGTGTCTCAGAGAGAATCTGTGTTACCTGTCGAATGGCGGCCCGAAGGATCGCACGATCTACCTCAGTCGAATAATAGTTAGGATCGATAAGAGGTGCGGTCGTTGGATCAGCCGACGCTATACTAACACATCCCCTCGAAGTGGGGACCATGCCTAGTATAGCTGATGCAATATGCGTGCCGTCCATCGGGATATCAGCACCAGCAACAGCCGCACCGGCAGGGGCGTAAACAATGAGAATCTCAGCATGACAGGAATTAGGGGCAAGATAAGGGTGCGTTGCAAGAGCTGACTCGCTCTCGCCGTCAGTCTTCAACGCTTCCACCAACACCTCACGTGGAGCTTGCACAGTGGCATTCCAGTCAGCCGGGAGGCCTAAAGCATATGCCGGGTCACTCCATAGCGGAGTTCCGATAGACAAGCCTTGCTCCGGATGCCGAAGTTTCCACCACCGCACAAACGAGAAGTGGTCATGAAGATTGCGGCCGACTTCTGGCGCGTCGACAAGTTGCGTGATATTGTGGTTCGTGAGTAGCTCAGCCGGTCCAATCCCGGAGAGCATCAGCACCTGTGGCGTGCGATATGCCCCAGCTGAGACAATAACCTCTCGTGATGCGAAGTATTTCTCTCCGCCTACCACTTCAACTCCTGTCGCGACTTTCTCTTTCTTGCCCTCCCGCTCCTCGAGAATAATTCGCTTTACCATGGTCTCGGTCAAGACGGTAATCCCAGGATAATTAAATATACCATATGCTTCACTCGAAATCTGTCGTTGGCCTGCACGCCAATTCTCAACCAACTCGCCCAGCCCTAGCGGCGATCCCGCATTTGCGTCCTGCACATATTCCACACCGACCCTGGAGAAAGCAGCCCGCAGCGGTTCTCTCAGAGGGTACTTGCGGTCCGGGCTACTCGAAGAGACCGAAGCATTATGGATACGTCCATCGGTACCATGCATAGCCGGATTAGCATTTGTGCCATCAAAGTGTGTTTCAGTTTTCTTGAAGTATGGCAGAAGACCCTCGTAGCTCCAACCCTCATCGCCGACTAACCTAGCCCAGCGGTCATAGTCGGCAGCACTTCCGCGAGTCCATGTACCATAATTTGTGGCAGAGCCGCCCCCAAGAGCTTTGCCTGCGCTGTTGTAACATTGGCGGCCATTGAGACTTTTCTGTGGCACCGTCGTATAGGCCCAGTCGAGTGGGGAGTAATGGGCACCGAAACATGCAAGCGGGGTTTTGGTGAGGGGGTGGTCGGCGGCATTGGGTCCCGCCTCAATGATCAGGATATTAAGAGAGTTGTTCTTTTCATTAAGCCGACTGGCGAGTGCGCATCCAGCGAGCCCACCGCCGATTATAATGTAGTCTTTTAGTGGGTTTGACATTAGGGTTGTTAAGATTGCGGGGAAGTCTGGTGTTGTCGAATATGGAATTAGTCAAAGAGGGGTAGGAATGAGTTAGAAGATGATTTTCAAAAGTACCCAAGTCCATAACAGAAAGATGAGCGAATTTATAGCCAATCCAGATGTATGAGCAATGCCCTTCTCTATCAGGCAATTTAGGTTAATCAACATAGACTATAATCGGCCCCCACGCCGTCTTTTTTAAGACGCCAAAATAGCCGATCAGACCAACCATAATGCTGCTTGGCTGTGGGGTACTCAAACGTGGTGGGACCTAGGGATAACTATGATCTATCTAGATGCCTCAATATCGTACTTTAGTGGGGAGGTAGTTCTGTTGGGTTAGATTTCCCCATCCACCGTGCTGCACGTATCTTATAAAATGTAACGTAGCCTGTGTGGTACAATAACCAAGGCAAGGGGCTGTGCTTTAGGCCACAGTAAGGAAATGGCTTCATATAGGATATAAGCAGCTAGATGGTTAGTGGGGACTTCTGGTTATGAAGCCGTCTGTCATTCACCTGAAAAGTGGTATTGACGAAATCCGGACCACATAGGGCTACTATAATGTGTTGGTATTTGTTCTATCTATTAACAGTCAGCGCAGATAACGGATTTTGAGAGCATAAGTCCGTTGCTAAAATCTTATTCGAAACCTTAGTCGTCGTGTCACTTCGTGTCATTCTGAGAGGCTGGGCATTCTATCCATCCTAGCTAGGTCAATGGAAATATATGGGAGAGGTAAAGAAGGCTTGACTGAGCCGGGCCTTTGGAGTTCGCAAGTGGTGTTTGTAAGAAGGACTGGGATATTGTCATAATAAATCAATTACCAAGTGACCAGAAATTTCCCGTGATACAACGCATTACCGACTAGATTGATACCACGACGTACCTATATACATTCATGATTAGCTGTAAAGCTCCTTTATGAATGCGTATAATCTAATTTTCTGTAACGATCCCCCCTGTTTCTACCATCTATGTTGATCATCTATCAATATAACGATATCCACCTGAGGCCTGCTACCGGCCATTGCCGTAGATAAATGTCTCGCATTCAACTTGCCAATTATCGTCACTTGCAATTTATATCACGGTCGTTTCTAAAATTTCGGAACCGGACGAGGCTTAGCAACATCTTCGTACAAATCCATGAACCGCAATAGAGTCTCCTCCTCGTCCGCCCTGGCCACCAGACATAGACCGAACGGCCGGTCATTGTAGCGAAGTTGTCCTATCGGGGCTGTGGCGACAGGATACCCTGATTCTATTAGCAATAGCGAATCAACTGTAAACTTGGTGAGTTGTTACCTGCAGCAGACGCATGAACACATAACGGGGAGTCTCCGGGAGCTGCCAGGATATTGATCTTTTCCTTGTCAAATAGGTCATCTACAATATCTCTCGCAGCCCTACGAAGGTCCTGTTTCATTTCATCTATTTGTTCCTTTCCTTCAGTAGTGTTCATTGCCCCTTCTAGATCATTCTGCTCGACGAATGCTGTGCTGTGTTAGTAACTCTTCACTGTAAGATCGTAGGATCGTGTCGTTTCTGTCAACCTACGAGCTGGAAGGGCTTTTTCGCTGTTTTCTTTATTGAACATGACGATATCTGCAACGCTTGTTACGGAGCACTCGTGAAGCGAGCGGATAAATTTAGGGATGCAGACGTTTTTAAAGTCCCAATCTAGAAGTGGTTAACCATCCTAACTTCATCTGATACTGCAGCGACCTACATGCGATTGGCAATATAGTATTTGGTAAGACTGAGGGATCCTTGCAATGGACTGGGTATCTAAGAGGACAGCCTCCATTTCGTAGAGCCGAAACCGTTTGTTCGTACTCGTCTACCTAGAATCCACTGTTAGAGCTCTGAACATTTGAATGAAATGAGAGTGACGTACCATTTGTTCTGCTGTACCCCCAAATTGCGTACAAAATTCGGGTGACATGCTCCAAATTTTCGGGTCTAGGAAGCCCACCGAAAGGCCTTCCCAGGAACTCAACTGTGGGGAGTTGAACAAGCGACCGAGTAGTATCTCAGAAAGAACGCGAACGTCCGCTGCTGATTTTGCCATAGGGCCCGGACTGTCAAAAAACTCCGTCATGGTGTATAACCCAGTAGTATCCTGGACTCCGGTAGTAGGCTTGAGCGCATACAGACCGGCGCGTGTTGACGGAGTCACGATGGAACCTATGGTCTCAGTAGCCATTGCAAGAGGGCTAAACCCAGCGGCTACAGCGACTGCAGGACCAGTGGATGAGCCCCCAGGAGCCTGCTTAATATTAGAATAAATGAATAACATCTGTATTTCATCTACTCACTGAGTGGCCAAGTATCTTCTCATTATCCTCTATCCTACCAACATACGGTGACAGAGTCTGACCGCCGTGAGCAGACCAACCGGGCATCATCATGGTCATTTTCATGCCCGCGAATTCCTAGGACGCCAGTCAATCCAATACAGTTTCCTAGGGAACCGAACGTCTACAGACAGTCATGTTAGCCTTTCCCAGGATAATCAAGCCAGAGTCAATCAGCCGCTGAGTGATAGCTCCGTTCTTTGACGCCTTGGCTCCGAGGAACGCATATGATCCAGCTGTGGTGCTCATGCCCAGTTCTGACGCTGTGACAAAGCTGTCTTTCAGAACTATAGGAATTCCATGAATTGGGCCCCGGACTTGCCCCTTCTGGCGCTCCTCATCCCGAGCCTTGGCGAGTTTGAGGACCTTGTCCCGCGGGGCCGGCGAAATTAGCGCATTGAGTACAGGCTCATAGCGATCGATTTGTGCCAAATATTCTTCCACGATGTGAGCGCTCGTGATCTTATTCTCTTCGAGTAGCTGCTGTAGGTCGACCGCGTTAGTCGTGAGGACGTTGAAGGCCATATCTGCGCTGAAGCTTGGGGTTTGGGTGAGGAGCAACGAGGGAAATTTGAACTTAGTCCCTTGCCTATCACTGGGGGACCGGAGGTGTACTATTTTATTAGTATAATAGAGAGGTGTAGGGATACAATTCCTTTTAATCCTACTATTAATATAATAACTTATACTTTGTATGGCTATTCATTTATAATGTAAGCTTTACTATAGTCTCTACTAAGAATATAGTATGGCGTGAAATTCTAATTACTTACAGGAATAGTATTATCATTACACCTCTCTATCGTACTAATAAAATTACTCTGGTTGACTGGAGTATAAGCATCGGTAGATAAAGGAATAGTGCTGTACAATCTATAGTACATTAACTGGCCCTTGATACTAGTAAAGTCACCTTGCTACTCTTCTCTCCGCAAAACTTTCCTTTTTCGGGTATGTCGACCTCGGGATTCGCCATATTGCTTGATTCTTAAGTGCTTCCGCAAAAACGTGACCGTCACTTCTCAGATCCCTAGACTATTTAAATGTACTTATACAGTGTATACCTTAATAACATGCTTTTCATAAGAGCTTATGCTGCGGGGCCTCTATATTGTAGTTGGGTATGTCTAAGAAGCATCACTGTCATGTGACCCTGAATAAGGCGTATAGTAGATAGCTCAATCTCTTAGGATAGATAATCAGACAAGTTCCCTGTTTTTCTCATCGATCGTGCTGGCCAGTAGTGTAGAGATATGTAGGCAGGCGACGTGTGAGTCGAATATCAGGATTTGACCTAGTAGTAAACGTACTACGGAGGCGTGACGAACTACGCCCACTTTACAATATCTATATAGATTAGTACATTTATAAAACTATACAATTCCAAGTTATCTAATACAGACTTTTCCTCGTCCAAAGGGTCTGGACCTGCTGAGATAAACTCTGTAAGGCAATTGACCTCTGCAGTGGCCAATATCAAGGTACCAATGAGAGTTACGGGATCAGGAACGGGCCATGCACGTTCGCTTTCGCGGAACGGCTTTAAGTACCGGTCTTCGATAATAACTGGGCCGGAAGGGCCTTTCCGTCATTTGCATCCTCATAATCGGCACTTTTACTGAACTATGAAAAATCTTCTGGCCTGAAACCGAGTGTCCTGATAGCGGCTATTCTCGGTTGGCTTCGGTCATGAGTCAGGGTCCACTAACCTGTTCCTGACACTTGCCACAGCGCCGTTAATAACCGAAGACGTTGTCCTGCTGCCGAAGACTTGATTGGCCACGTTTCTAACTGTCACATGGTGCTGTGGCTCGTGCGCGTTTCTATAACATCATTTTTATATCGAAAATCTTTATCGCGGAAAAGAATGGGTCTATCCGATACTGAAATCAGGCTCTGTTTGGCAGCAAAACGTCAGTGGGCTCTTTTCATTTCGATGGAGTACGCGAGACCAGAGGAAAATAATGTGAAAAAATGAGGGCTAGTTGGGTCTGTGGCTCTGTCCACCGCTGTGTATATTAGTAGCAGTTGGGAACCTTTCCTTGAGAATTCTTGAATTCTCACACGGAGCTAATTTTCTGTACATACTCATAACAATATAATATATCCGCTTTACAATGGATCATACCCGGGGTGACATCCCGACTTACCAAGAAGAGCACCACAAATGTCCATCTCTCGATGAAACCGACACCGATAGCGAGGACCTGTCCGACGAAACGGCAAACCAGGTTAACTCTTTAGAACTTGAGCGCATAAATACCTATCATCTTCAGCAAAAGACAACCGTTGGCTCAACTAGAGGCCCTCTGCCGCGTGAGCAATGGCTACCTATGGGTGCCGGGAAAGAATATCCTCCATTGCTCCCCGATCCTGAACAATATGTGGTTGAATTTGATGGACCAGACGATCCATTACATCCCTACAACTGGTCCATGCTGAGAAGGTTCGCCTGTCCCACAATATATTGTCCTAAGTGGGTTTAGTTACTAACACGGCATCTATTTAGAGCTTTCCTCGTATGCATCCTCTGCTACTCAACCTTTGCCGGCTCTTTCGCTAGTGCCGTCTTCTCCGCTGCCATTGGTTCCGTGAGCGAGCAATTTAACATCGGTACGGAGGCTGCATCGTTAGGCGTCACACTATACGTTTTAGGTTTTGCTGCCGGTCCGACGATCTGGGCGCCGGCATCTGAGCTTATCGGACGACGCTGGCCGTTGTCCGTCGGCCTCTTCGGATGTGGTATCTTTAGCATTGCTTGTGCCACTGCAAAGGATGTGCAGACTATTATGTTAAGCCGTTTCTTTGCTGGACTGTTCGCCGCGAGCCCCATCTCAATCGTCCCTGCTGTATTTGCCGATCTTTTCAACAATGCACAACGGGGCATCATCATGTCGATCTTCTGCATGGCTGTCTTTATCGGACCCTTTGCCGCCCCTTTTGTAGGCGGATTCATCGCTATGAGCTCCCTCGGATGGCGCTGGACTATGTACATATCCGCCATCATGGTATTCCTGGGTTTCGTTCTCGTCCTTCTCTTCCTGGATGAGTCCTACCCTCCCGTGATCCTGGTCCGCAAGGCCTCGGAGCTTCGCCGACAAACGCATAACTGGGGAATTCACGCCAAACAAGACGAGGTAGAGGTTGACTTCAAGGAACTGATCCGGAACAACTTCACGCGTCCGATAACCATGCTATTCACCGAACCCATTCTCCTCCTTATCTCCCTGTACATCGCCTTTATCTACGGCCTCATGTATGCTCTACTCGGTGCATACCCAGTCGTCTTCCAGGGAGTCTACGGTATGAATATGGGTGTTGGTGGCCTTGCCTTTGTCGGTCTTATTCTGGGTGAACTGCTCGGCGGCTGCTATGTGCTCTTCCTACAGGGTGCCTATAAACGGAAGCTTGCAGCCAATGGAGACAAACCTATCCCTGAATGGCGTCTCTCTCCTGCCATTTTAGGTGCTGTGCTCTTTACAGGAGGAATGTTCTGGTAAGTTACTATCTTCCTCTGTCCACATACCTGGTTAGAAGCATTACTAACAATCTGAATAGGTTCGGCTGGACCGGCTACACATCCTCTATCCACTGGATGGCTCCCATGGCCTCAGGAGTCCTCACCGGCGCAGGAATCTTCCTTATATTCCTACAATGCTTCAACTACATCGTTGACTGCTACCCCACACTGTAAGCCCGCTTCCAATAACCCCATCCTGATCACACACAGAACTAGTAACTAATAGGTATTACCTAGTGCGGCCTCCACAATAGCAGCAAACACGATTCTCCGCTCAGCAGTCGGCTGCGCATTCCCTCTCTTTTCAAGACAGATGATGCAGAATCTCGGTGTCCAATGGGCCGGAACCATGCTTGGCTGTATTGCGGCTGTGATGATTCCTATCCCAGTTGTATTCAAGTTATATGGTCCTTGGCTAAGGGCCAGGAGTAGGTTGGCTTGTTCGCCGGTTTATGATGTTGAGAAGAAACCTTATGATGTATGATTTTTCATGTTTGTATAAAAGTTTGCTTCTTTTTTTGTTAGCTTTGTCTTTTTTTTAGCGAAGATACCATTTGCATAGCGTGTGATATGGTGTTGTGAATTTAGTTACTTTGATACTATTTAGAGGATTTGGTGATGATGGGTTACCGTGTTGTAAATACTGTCATGATTATCAGTAGCTAATAATGGGTGATTGAGTCTACTACGACATACTTTGAGTATAATTATGTATATGGCAGATAAAGACCGATGTATTAGACTTCGACTGAAGTGTCGCAAAATACATACCGCAGACTATTTTCACTGGAATGATGCTATCAAAACTGTCACGCGTTCCACTTAACAACCACAATGGATATCAACGGAGGGACTCGGTTTCTGCATCACCCAGGATGGAAAAGCCCCAGTCAAAGAAATAAACCAAAGCCAACGATGAGAGGTCAGAGTAGGGAAGAACAGCCGAAACTGGTCCGCATTCCACCTACACATGAAGAAGATGGAGGGACCGAGTTTCAGATGACCCCAATTCAACAGCCCCCAAATAAGCAGATAAAAATCAACTGACAAAGGAAATTGACCCCAAAAAAAGGAGAGAAGGAAAGGGAGCTTGCTAGCCCGCCTCAGCTGCCTGATGTGCAATGAAATCCTCAACCTGCCCTGAGGCCCTCAATCATGAACCCAGCTCGCGTACATACATCTCAGTAGCCCATCCGACCATAGAGCTCTTTAAGCACTTTGCACCAGAGAAAGAGCGCTTTCTTTAGACCTCCTCTTTGAGGACACGTACTTGTGTGGCGTTTTGGTACCCACAATCGTCCAGAGGTTCAATAGTTTCACTTAATGTTCGTCCTGCGTTCAGAAAAAGATCACCGAACCGGTAAAGGGATGATACCAATGTGTCGAGAGAGCCCTGCAGAAGATGTGTTTGGAGAGTTGTATGCTCGTCCAGCCAGCGCTTTGCGCAGTTGTCGTACACTTCACATAGGCGGTCGAGGTCAACAGTGCCCTCGTAGTTGTCGTGGGTGACAAGGTATTCTCCATTTGATGAAACAGTGGTGGAAAATCCGGAAATGAGATCTGAGATGGCTTGTATGGTCTCATCGAGTGTTAGGGATGATATTTCATCGATGTGGTCCTTGAGGGGTGAGAGAGGGTCGGTTGGGACGTTGGTCATGAGATTTCGTTCTTTTTCTGTGGCTGGATCAATGGGGAGGCTCGTTGGGCAGGATAGCTTTGCGACCTCTTCAGCGTTGCTGTCTGTGTTATCGTCCGCGTCATCATCTTCGTCGTCCTCCATGTCGTCGTTCATGTTAGGGTTGCGAATTTACAGTGTGGTATCCATGGTTTGGTCATAGGCAGGCGTAGCGGACTCTTTTATATTGCATTGAAAGCCAAGTATTAGTCATAGTGACATTCACTGGGGACATGAAAGCTCACTCTTTGTCTGATGAGCTCGCGGGGTTTGCCTTAGTGGCGGTTGTGGAATATTGAATGACTTTGAGACGATAATTTACTAGCTTGGTACTTCCTCATAATGTTTCGGTCATTCCATGCAGATCACTGGAATTCTCATACATATACAGAGAAAAAGATTAGATTCCTTTCATTAGGAACACAATTGGTTGGGTAGCTTGTAATCTAAGACAAAGATGGAAAGACTATGAAAGCTGAAGGATATTTCGGAAATAAGCAAGGCAAGGAAGCTATACAATGAATACAAAGATGAATAGTTTCGTCCGATTTGACAATTGGTATATCTACACACAAGGACTTTCTGCATTTCTCTTCTGTATGATCGCAATATACCAATGTTTATTCTTCACCACTCAACTTGCATTTTCAATTATCTTCACAACAATGTAAGGAGTCTTCCACAAGCGTTGGAATCCTGCAGAAACAATTACACCTTGTCTGACGGTTCATCACCACTCTTTTCATCCAGGCCAAACTTAATATTAAGCTTGTCCCGGAGCTTGACTTCCTTTCCAATAAGCTTTACCAACAATCCTAAGCCAGCAAAATCAATTCGGGGGAACATCAAAATCAACACCCAATCTAAACACGTCATTTTAACGCGTCAATCGATCGAGAAAGGCCCCCTGAGGCCTCAGGAACCGCTATGGAGGCCCCAAACCCCCATGGTGGTGGTCTACCGAACGCGTCGAGATGGGCACCCCCGAGCGGGATACCACCACCACCGTCACCACCATCACCAACACCGATATATCGAGGGGGCCCTAGGACCCTAGATATACCCATAGATCTGGGACAGATAAGCTACAGCGAATCTAGCAGGGCCCCAAGCAGGGCCTCTAGCAGAACCAGCTCCAGAAGCA